CAAAAAATAGAGTTTACATTTTGTAACTATACAAACCATCAAAACAGCTGAGAAATCCAATATAGTGCATACTAATTACATGAGTGTGCTGTATGCAGATAAAGATGGATAGTTGCATTTGCATTAAAGTTGCATTTTTTGACAGCTCCAGGGTTTTTGTTAAAACTACAGGGCTTTTGATCAAACTTCCACATTTTTATATTCCCGCCCACAGACAGTCAGATCTACAGAAGGGTGGCACCGAAATAAAAAAGGGGTAAACCTTATATAACTTTGAACATAGAGTAAGCATCATTGAAATATTAGATTATATATATTAGATAGATAGATAGATAGATAGATAGATAGATAGATAGATAGATAGATAGATAGATAGATAGATAGACAGATAGATGAAAGCTTTCTTCACTGTGGACTAAAGGATTATTTCAAAACCAGATTATTTATAAAAATAAAAAAGACATGTATCTGTAAAATGTAAATGTGAATTCAATGATATGACCCCTTTATAGAATTTAATTTAAATTCTAACCATGACAAACAATCTCTGTAACGAGCCTATAGTATTTAAGAGAACAGAATTAGAGAATATTATGTAGTATAAAAGTATTTTTATACCTTTTGTGTAATTCTATTGACAGCTGCATTACTATTTTAGGAGTGTATGTAATAATCCATATTGAAATAGCTAGTTTCAGCTTAATTTAATAGCTGCTGTAGTACCATGTGATTATTAGTGTGTGCTGTTGTCTGTAGAAAGTGCTAACATTGTGCTTGTTGCTCTGGCAGTTAAACCCTCTGTGTGTGTGTGTGTGTGTGTGTGTGTGTGTGTGTGTGTGTGTGTGTGTGTGTGTGTGTGTGTGTGTGTGTGTGTGTGTGATATTATTTCTAAAAATGACATGTAAATATGAAATGTAAATATATATTCAATATGACCCCTTTATAGAATTTTTGGTAACACTTTATTTTAAGGTGTCCTTGTTACACGTTACATGTACTTACTATTATAATAACAATGAATTATACATAATTACATGCAAGTAACCCTAAGCCAAACCCTAACCATATAGTAAGTACATGTAGTTAATTAATATTACTCTGTAAAAAGGACACCTTAAAATAACCACATTTTTTCATTTAAATTCTAACCATGACAAAACGATCTCTGTAATGAGTCTAGTAATTAAGAGAACAGAATTAGATCATTATTTTTTGTAACTTTTGTGTAATTCTCTTCACAACTGCATTACTATTTTAAGCGTGCATGTAATCCATATTGAAATAGTTTCAGCTTTATATAATAGCTGTTATAGTACCATGTGATTATTAGTGTGTGCTGTTGTGTGTAGTAAGTGCTAACATTGTGCTTGTTGCTCTGGCAGTTAAACCCTGTGTTGTTTGTATGTGTGTGTTTCGTCTGGACGCAGTGCTGAAGGCTGCCCCCTTTACTGCGCGCACGGCCAAACGCAGCTCGCGTTACTTCAACGAGGAGCTCCACTTCTAAAGCTTAGACTCTCTCTCTCTTAAAGGTCGCTGGATAAAGCTGCTCTCTTTCATTCTCTGTGTGTGTGTGTGTCACACTTCACATTCCTGGTTTTATTTCCCTGTGGGGTGTCCCTTCTGGATGTGGGCCGGCGTATGGATGGGATGTCATGGGCGTGTTCATTTTTCCTTTCTTTTCCAACTAAACTCCTGCATGACGGGGGGTTTGGGGAGGCGAGCATATGTTGACACCGCAGTTTTTCTTTTGCATGGAGTGTGTCATAAATTCATATTCATCATTGTAACATGAATGTAATAAGAGGAAATATGATGTCACAAAAACCCAAACACGTCAAGAGTTTAGAATGAACTCTATGTACGTTTCAGCTGTGTTTAAACTGAAGTATCAGTTCTATTGGTTGACTCAGGGTGCCCTCTGCAGTTTAAATAGCAGGCATAAGTCTGAAAATATATATTTCACTTTTCCAAAATTATCAATTTTGCCATTTTTGTTACTGTATCATCAAAAGCATTGGTCCCACTTTATATTAAGTGGCCTTAAGTATTATGTACTTGCATCAAAAAATAAGTACAATGTGCTTATTGTGTTGATACTGTATTGCAAAACACTTTTGCTGCTATTGAGGCGGGATATCATATGGGTGAGATTAGGGACAGGTTTGGTGGTTAAGGTGTAAGCGATGGGTCAACAGTGTAGAAATGTAATTACAGAAATTAATCACAGATGTAATTACATGCAGGTATTTTTTTTTTAATATAAGTACAATGTAAAAACATGTATATGCACAATAAGTGCATTGTACCAAATGATTAATGTAAATGTAAGTACAAAGTAATTAAGGCAACCTAATATAAAGTGGGACTACATTTTTTTTTTGATTATTATTATCCACAAACTGATCCATTACACAAAAAGCACTTCAGAAACAGTCATGTTTGTGATGCTGGCTCGTGTTGGGCATGTGACATCATTGTTTGCTCATGTGTTCATTTGTTCATGTCATTGTGAGTATATATAATATATAATGTCATTGAGTTTTGTAACTATTCACATTTTGCTGGTTTTCTGCATTTTCTCACTCTTCCTCCATTCTGCTCTGATGGCAAATTTCTAATATCACACGAGTCCATGTGTTGCACATGTGTTTAACTTGTTGCATGTTGGGATGGTTTTCTCTCAGAAGCATGTTCTGCTAATTTTCTTCACTGTATTCATTTGCACGGGGTGAATGACGTTTCTCATTCAGATTTACTTCTGCTGTTAAATGTAGGGCTAAATCTCACCAAAACAGCCTATCCAGGTCATAATTTAACTCAAAAAAGGGACTTATTACAGGCTTCGTCCTCTTTATGTAAAATGCATTTAAACATTACTTTTATGAAATTTGACTGGGAGGCCATGTTTTCGTGAGATTCACTTGCGTAGCTTAATATCCTAATGATTTTTGGCATAAAAGAAAAATCGATAATTTTGACCCATACAATGTATTGTTGGCTATTGCTACAAATATACCCCAGCGACTTAAGACTGGTTTTGTGGTCCAGGTTTACATATAATATACAAAAAATGGCATTTATACTTGTCTATTTGCAGACAAGCTGAGTCACTCATTCTGCAGGTTTCATAAATATGCCAGTAGGTGGCGATAGGCGAGGGTCATTGAATCATTCTTTCAGACAATTTGTTCAAAAACACAGATTCAGTCAGACACATTATTGTGTGTATCTAAAATTTGTTGTGCAAAACTCACATCTCGTTACTGAACTCCTGTGTTTTCCGCAGTCAGTATTAGTACAGCTGTGATTATCTGCAGCTAAATCACAGCCTCTTGCTTGTGTAGCATAGACTAAATTATATTACAAGGAATGTTTTACAAGGTTAACAAATTTTACGCTTTTTTTTTTTTTTGAAGGACATTTAAAAGTAGTAGCCTACTTTGACATCGCAGCACACTCGCAGTTAATCGATTCTCTGGTTACTCTGCTAAGATACCGTGAGGATTAATTGACTTACATTTATGCATTTAGCTGACATTTCTATCTAAAACAACTTAGACTGCATTTAAGGAATTCCTGCTTTGCCTGGGAATCAAACCCATGACCTTGGCGTTGGTAGTGCCATGCTGTACTGTTTGTGCTAGGAATACTGTACATCTGTTAAAACCTCCAAAACACACGTTTATTAAAAGTCTTTGTCATTGAACAAAACTGAGGTACAGTTTTGAATGACGCCCCTGCAGCGTTTGAGCACGAGATAACACTTGCTGTATTATATTTTGTCATATAATGCAGTGACATTCAGACATATTATGTGCGATTTCAAATACATTTCGGGGCCACTGTTAGTGTTTTCCCAACAACCTTGTTAAAAACAAGTTCCTAAAAAGAGGCAAACTCCATAGTTTCCTTTCCCATTTAATTCTGAAGCTGAAAAAAAGTACTTATTCCAGTAAAAGCTCAAGCTGCTTTGCCCAGTTGACCACCAGCATGTCCAGAGGATCTAAACTCAAATACTGACATCTTTTACTCTGTTCCTCCTGCATCAGATCTGAGAAACCAGCCTTACAGGCGCGCTGACGCCGTCAGGAGGAGCATTCGAAGACGTTTTGATGATCAGAATTTGCGGCCAATGAACAATGCAGAGATGGTCATGTGACGAGGGCAGAGTGGATGTGATTGGATGGGCTGGAGGAGCTAATGAAGGACTGATGAAGATGACAGCAGGTCTGAAAGCCAAGTGCCTACATTAAACATCTGTCCCATCAGGTGTTGAATCATACATGTGTTTTAGTCAGTGTCTTCTGGCTGTGAATTTTTATATGACAAACAATGTCTTGATCTGTCTTTTATCTTATGGTGCTTCAAGTGTATGGCGAGATCAGTGTTTTTCTTGAGGAAGTGTCTGAAAGTAAAACTATTCCAACACTTGATGTATCATGAACCTGTACAACCGTTGCATTCATACATTCCAGTGCTTTCACCACAGATCAAAACTGACCAGGCGTGGGGGTTTTTTTTCTTTTCCAAATGTACTGGTCGGTCTTAAAGAAGTCCTGTAGTGTCTGTCAGAGCCTGTTTTTATTGCGGCGTTCAGACAGATAAAGCCCAACAGAATGGAATACAGGTTGAGAAGCATTTGAAACGTTTAAAAACTTTTGTAAAAGTTGTATAAAATATGTTAATGGCTTGAGATGCTGTAGGGTGCGACAGTGGACAACGATAACAATAATAACATTCCTGATTTGAAGGTATTTAAATGTGCTGTTCCCAAGACCCACACCTGTGGTCTTGTCCACTTGAGGGCATGTGTACACAACAGGAAGACTGTCCCAGGTCTGAAAATGCCAAAGCACCACACTTAAGTTGTCATCTGAACAGTCATTTACAAGTTTGTTTTTAAAGTGCAAAGTATTGAAAATCAAAATGTGTAAATAAAGCTCTGTAAAAACTGTGTTGTGTGTCCCATTGAGTAATCAAACATGCCACACCGGTTACCCAATGGAACACACTTGAGACTTCTTCACGCCCACTTGAAAACATGGACCAAATACAGGAAATACCAACGCTATCTCACGACCAGTTCGTATGAATTCGCATATGAATTTTTACGATTTTGCATGATTTGTTTACACCCCAGTGGCAGGTATGAATTCATAAGAATTGGGGAACTTCCAATATGTACAATTTAACAAAATACGTACGATTTAACAAAAGTCGTACATATTCGTATGAGTGAGGTCGTACGAATTAATCACTTCATAAAATATGTACAAATTGCCATGAGATCGGGTTGGACATGGCTTTGAAGTGGTCACAAAGATCACAAGTGTGGGTACTGGGACAGGCCCCCCTTTAAAAACCATTATAAACTAATGGCGCTTTTCCACTGCATGGTACAGCTCGGTACGGTTCACTTTTGGGGGGTTTTCCACTGGGTATAGTACCTGGTACTTTTTTTAGTACCACCTCGGTTGAGGTTCCAAAAGTTGTGTTGTCTGTTGCGGAAGAACAGACGTTCCTCTCGTTGATAGCAGAGGAGCGGATCCATCGAGAGCTTGATGGGGCGACTCAGAATGAATTTTTTTTTTTAGGAGTTGTGGTAGTAGAGGCAGCGTAACTATAACGACATGTGAATAATCCCGCCCACTCTAAAGCGGTATGACTGCAGTGGAAACACAAACCGTGCCGAGCCGAACCGTGCCGTTCTGAGCCGAGTCGTACCACGCAGTGGAAAAGCGCCATAAGAATAGTCAGTCGTCTGTTGGACTAATTGACATCCTGGTCCAACTCTAATCAGAAGGTCATGCTGGAGTTACAGCAGGGGGCCGTGAACGGGTGTTGCACTATTGGGCCACAGAATTAGATGGGGTTCAGTTAAGTAGGAGAAGGTGTAGGTAAAGGTGTGTTGTTAAGTACATGGGACAAAGGCAAATGTGAAATATAAACCAGAGGCAGCAGAACTCCAGTACCTCATGCTTCTGAAAGACTGCGGACAAGTCTTAAAATGGTGCACAAGCAAGACTGCATTAGGTTTTGGTCTTCAAACTGTGGGTTGGTCAGGATTACCTAAACCAAAGTGCAGAAAAAGTCTAGTACTTCTGCAGCCTTTACAAATTATGGAGTCGTCGAGCATTTTCAAAAGTTCATTGACTAATTAATGTTCCATGTTCAACACAGGTGAAGCTCTGTGCTCTGCCAAAATCTTGTTTACATTAAAGCACTTCCAATGAAAGTTTATGGGGCAAGGCATTGCGCAGGAACGAATGTAAAAGTACAGTTTTTAAACTAAAACCTCAAGACTTAATCCATGTTCACTTGACTACTGTGGTTTTAAAACAGAGAAGTATTTGATTCTATCAATGTTGTCTTAACCAGCAATATAACACTCTTGTCAAGACCGTGTAACTGGATGACTTTGTCAGAACAGAAGTTACCAGAGTTAACATAACCAGAAGTCCACAGTAGTCTCTTTGCTAAAATTACAAAACATGTCAGCTCAAAAAAGTGCTTTAACAAATATATGAATGTCTGCATTTTAAACCCTTGTACACTTGCTCTATAGACTTCCATTGGAAGTGCACTGAGGTCAATAGAATATTGTTTTATACACCGAGGATTTAATATGGAGTCTGTGGTAATCCACACGGATGTTGTTTTGAACAGAATATTCCTTTATGAATTTTAAGCACCTGACACAACTTAATTGGTGACATTGGCTCTTGTTCTTCATGCCACAAGATCAGGTTCCTGCTAGAATTCAGTTGCTGTAACTGGGCTTGTTTTATGCGTTCTAGGTCAGATAATGGGAAATAAGGCCTGTTATATAAACTGAATTTTGTGTGGTTCTATAATGACCTGCACAAATGAAAATTCACATTTCTTGAGACGTGTAATTTTATTTAAAAGCAAAAATATAAAATCACACACAAAAAAAGTGTTTGTTAATTGTACAGATATTTTGCTATAAAATTGTTGCATCTTTTTAACTTTTTTAATCTCCTAATATTGTACATAGTTTAAAAACAATACCGTTTAAAAATCATTCTGTACTACAACATTTGAATATTTATAGCTTATAGCTTTTTCTTTTTGTTTCTCCTGCATTTTGTATATTTAATAAAAGTGAAAACCTGAACCAGGTCTTTTAGACATGCAGCCACATCACCTTCTAACATGCCAGAAATTGAACTGGATTAAACTGGCATTTTTTTCCCTGAAATCAATGTATCTTAGGCATTGAATGCTTACAGTACTGCAAAAAGATCTGTTCTCAGATTTAAAGTTAGATGATGTCCAATTAAACTATTTACACAATGCTGGTCTTCTGTGTTGTTCTTGAGCGAGTGAACAGAAGTAGGATGTTGCCCTCCAAAAAAAATGTAAAGGTCGAGATCCAGGCTGCAATGCAAAGATGTCAGAATATCAAGTCAATGCATTTTCACAGAATAATAGACTTGAGGCCTGTTGCATAAAGCCCATTTCTATGGCTTCCCAAGTAAATTCGAATTTGGTTTCATGCATATTTCTTTATCAAATAAACATGTAAATAAATTTGAATACTGCACTTTGACTAGGCTTCTGAGAACAGTAAATCCCGGCTTCCTTTGATTTGATTGGCCAGCTGAGAAGTACAATATTTTTGCAGCACCAAAGTAGCCTAGTTATTACTCAAACTCTTTTTCTATTGTTTTTCGTCAGGCTATACGCCACCGTCTCTTGCTTGACTAGCGTTCTGCACGTGCACAATTGAACACAAAAGGTGTCACTAGCTTTTTGCATAGTTTTATAGTCTCAAATCACACCTGCCTACAGATGTGCACAGGGTGACAGGTCTGCATTTATATTATACCCTTAACACATTATATATTGAATTTATAGATATTGACTATATTTATTAATTTTTATCTATTTTCTTCACTTGAATGGACAGATTTTCGTCCGAAATTGTCAGCTGACTTCTAAAATCTCAGTGGCAGTTTCATGATGATCTGAAGTTACTGAAGAAAACAGGATTAACAAAAAGATCACCGCAGATGAAAATGAGCAGGTTTGGATCTCCAGAGAACAGAGCAACAAAAAAAGCATTATTTTATAGTTTATTTGTCAAAATTCAAGTTGAAAACAATGCTGCAGACATCGGTCATACCGAATCCAAAAATGACTTTTACAATCTTACAGATTCATCTGAAGTTGAATAATAGTTGTTTTTATGCAGGCTTGTTCATTTTGTTCCACATTATCAGTGATGTTTAAAACTATTGGCAATAACAAATATACAACTGACTAAAAAAAGGGTTCTGCAGTTAAAGGCAACATAACACTTGCAACCTCTGAAAATAATCTTACAAAATCAACATGCCCAGATGAAGAGTGCTGATGTTCAGACAATACTGCCTCTCAGAGAGACTACATGAGATCCAGTGGATTCACAGCCAAACACTCGGATGCTCATCCCAAGAGGATGCAAAACACATTACAGGAATGCAAGTGTGAGAGCGAGACGGACAGAGAGTGATTTATGGTGCATCCAGCTGCTCCAGGAGAGTACGACGCCTCTTTTCCAGCTCTCCTTCACTCAGCTCGCTTCCAGACGTATCCCATCCACCCTGAGAGACAGACAGAGGGCTTCAGATCTCATCTGGGTAAATAAGACTCTACAGACACCGTCTCAGATATGATCTCTTACCTCTTCTTTTGTACTCTTTCTTTTGGGGGATTTCTGTTTGGATTCTCCACGTGACTTCCCTCTGGATTTGTCGTTCTCTTTATCCTTCTCTTTCTCTCTTCCTTTCCGCTCTTTCTCTCCTTCAGACTCAGGGGAGGCCTGCAAAAAAAGGAAGAAAAAAAAACGTGATATTCACCATATTGCTCATTATCCTATAATAGCCATTTAGAGTTGTACACGTTATAAAACAATGTTATTTAATGAATGAGAGTAAACATAGCATCATAGAACTGAACATACAGTTCTGGGTATTTAATAAACACTCATTTAATACACTGTACATTCAATCCCAGAGACAGACACTTGTTAAATCAATAACTGATGGAGAAAGCCCTTCTTTAACAGCCAATTCAAGTAAGATCATTTGAGATCTTTACAATTATTCCAATTCAACAAATACAAAACATCTCTTATAACTAGGAACTTGAATTTTCTGTAAAGCTGCTTTGCATCGATTTGTATCTTGAAAAGCACTGAATAATGATCATTTTAAGTAGAGTTGGATTCAGTTCAAACACAGTATGTCCTAATTATATGCTTAAATATACTAAAAGCCAATCCAATGGGTAGAAATCATCAAGTTGCTTCAGTCCAGTAAGTGTTCATCTTGAAATATTACTAAAAATAAAATAAAAATATTCTTACATTTATTTTGTAAAAAAAAAAAAAACGTAAAGATTTCACAGCAAGAACTAAGTACTAAAGGGGAACATTTTTAGAATTATACGAAAGGCATTTTGTTTGCTGGAAAGTATAACAATTGACCTATCGGTAAGCCCCTCCCCTCGAACGCAGATGAGCCAATGGCAGTCGAGTATCAGTTGCACGGGGAGCAGAACTCGGACACCTTTAGGTTCCAGTGCCATAGAGAAACATGGAAAGATCCGAAGCTCGCATATAATGAATTCATCTTCCAAACCGTTTTTGTCTTATTATAAGTGTACCGTAGTGATTCGGAATAAGTACTTATATTTGGACTATTGTAGCCTGGTCGTAACAGTAACATACCTGTGTGAATCGCCATAGACAAACTTAGAGAAGTAGCTCCGGCTGGAATATTCTTCCGAGGGATGTGTGCAGTAGAGCCCGACTGATATATCGTTTAGCCAATATTATTGGCCGATATGAGCCTGTCGCCGATATATCGGTATCGGCGAATATGCCGCCGATATGAAAGTTTTTTTTTACAGAGCATATAACGCAGATAAAATACTTGAAATGGTGTAATTACTTAGTTTGTGCTCCATTGTTTGCTACTGGCAACCTGGATGAAATGCTTTAAAGCTTAAGTCTATGGAAAACCATTGAAACTTTGAACGGCCATATCTCCGTAACGGCGCGGTGGATCCGCACCAAATTCGGGGGATCCCTTCAGCTCGAGGAACCCTCGAGAAACGCAAATCTAGTGTACATCTCGAGGCCCTCTTTCGAATGAGACCACCCCCGCATCGATAGCCCCCGGGGTTCGGGAGTTACGGGCGGTTAAATTCACCGGCCAACGCCGATCGATCTAGTGATTCCGGGGTGCTACCGACGCTCGGAGGGTGGCGTTCGAGAGGGCTCCTCGAGCTGAAGGGATCCCCCGAATTTGCTAGAGATCCGCCGGCGCGTTCACGAGATAGTGACACCATTCAACAACATTTAACTGCAGTAAGGAGGTCTCTTGTTCAGGCAGCAGCATTCAAGCGTTGTCTTATTCGACCGTAAGTGCCCTGCGAAGTGGACTACACATAATATTCCGCCATGACTCCAGTTCCAAGGGAACGTACACATTGCATTCAAAGGGCATTAAAGTGCGCGAGATGTGAACTTATATTTACAAATTATGTCACACTTCACACTTCTCTAGTAAGTTTCGTCTGTGTGAAGACAGTAGCGCAAATCCGTGAATGAATGTTCCAAAGTGAAATAAACTTCAACGGATTAAAGTTGAATGGAATTTAATTGAATTAAAGTTGAATAAACTTTAACTTTACTGTTCAGTGCACTGATGTCAGACTCATTTTGAATAAAGTTTTGTTAAATTGTTAAATGCCCTGCCTCCATCATTACGTATCTTTGTGCAGTTCTGTTTATTAACCACTAGAGCGCTAAAAGTTACATAGTGCTGCTTTTAATGGTGTTTATGCTACAAAAATTGAAAAAACGATGTGCCTGCGGTGCTTGTAACACTGATTCCAGTTATCCTGAGAGGATAGGCAATGTAATTCATTTTATTCCATTTTCAAAATCCAACCAAAACAGAGCAAAATGTTCCTAAGCATTCAACCACAATCACAATGAAGACGAAAACATTCATTTTCTGATTGTCATACTCTCATTAAGTTACACTTTTCATCTCCTCAAGCAGAACATTAATGTCATCTTGTGCTTCAGCAAGGTATCTCTGGCTAAAACTAGCTAACGTTAGCATTAAAAGTTAGTGAGTCCATGCTAACGTACAAACCTAAATAGCGAACTGTTCTCACGTCATGTACTATGCAGTGAAAGTCAAAAACACATAATCGAAGGTCTATATTAGAGTGCCTCTCCATATTAATCTTGTTAAATGTAAATTAATTTAATTTAATCTTACTCTGCGGTATATGAACAGTGTTGATCCTGCATGTTATCATGGCGATCGTGACGACCGTAACTCCCATTTGCATTGTGATCTGTATTTTTACATATTTATTTTAATATCTTTTATATATCCCTCCATGGCATATTTAAGTCCCACTTGAAGGTCCATCTGTGTCCCAAATGTATCAGAAGCACCTCGGAAGAAGGTTTTTACTGACAGCTGTCATTGTAAGACAGTGAGCAACTCCGTTTGTTTGTCTGAGTGAGCAACAGTAACTAAGGGGGGCGGGGCTTGCCGATAGGTCAATTAGACAACAGAAGGCATGTAACAGATGGTGTCCAACAACTTTTTCAGCAATGGTTTGGGAACCACTGTGAAAAGCATTGTAACTTATTTTGTCCAAGTCATTACAAACTGATACAAACTAATACCTCATGAGAGATTAGTTCCGAGTCCGACTACACTAGTCCCCGCCGCATTCCATCTTCATTTGATCCTCTAACTCTAGCACTCTTTATTCTAACTCTATTTATCTATTGGTTTTCTCTTTTTTTCATAAAAAAAAAACACTTGACCCTCTTACACTCGATTCTATTTCTATCCTAACTACTTTTCTTTTTATTAAAAAAATGACCCTCTAACACTAGCATTCTCTGTTTTTTTTTTTTTACTAGTTTTATTTTTATTTAAAAAAGACCCTCTAACACGAGCGTTCCATATTCTTTTTCCCCCCTATTCTATCTACTTGTTTTCTTTTTATTTATTTTATTAAAAAAAAAAAAAAACCTTGTCATAGCACTTGGATATTATTGCAGGTTTTTTAGTAAGTCAGATTCCTCATCAAATGCAAAAGGAAAAAGTATTAGATAGTTTTGAGTCGTTCGCTACTCACTGATTTGTGTCGTCTTTTCTTTCCCTTCTTCTTGTGTTTCTTAGATTTCTTGCAACTCCTCTCTGTAAAGATCAAGATACTAGTTTTATTTTTATTTAAAAAAGACCCTCTAACACGAGCGTTCCATATTCTTTTTCCCCCCTATTCTATCTACTTGTTTTTTTTTTATTTATTTTATTAAAAAAAAAAAAAACCTTGTCATAGCACTTGGATATTATTGCAGGTTTTTTAGTAAGTCAGATTCCTCATCAAATGCACAAGGAAAAAGTATTAGAGAGTTTTGAGTCGTTCGCTACTCACTGATTTGTGTCGTCTTTTCTTTCCCTTCTTCTTGTGTTTCTTAGATTTCTTGCAACTCCTCTCTGTAAAGATCAAGATCAGATGATCATTGAGAGACTGCTGTTAAACGGTCATGATGTATTCAGTATTGATGTGTTGTGCAGGACACGGATATCGATCCTAAACGTCACTGACCAGATTCCCCAGAGGACGAGTGCTCGGATGGAGATTTAGAAGCGGAGTGTTTCTTCTTCTTCGAGTGATACTCATCATCCTCCGACTCCGAGCCCTTCCGTGAACAAACACACAGGACACAGTTTAGGAGGATGAGTGAGAGTGAGTCTTGAGTAAATGCATACCTCAAATCCCCAGTTATAAACATGAGCCGCGTCCAAAAGTTAAAGGGGGAGGTGTTGCTACAATATTTTCAGTATTTCTCAGAGGGCGGGCTTCAAGTATAACTCGTTTGAAGTAATGGTGCTTCATATAACATTATCCAGAGAAAAAAGTGTTAATGATAAATCCCCTATGATGTTTGTACTGGCTACTGTATACAGGCTTTATTAAAGAATTTGCTGATTTTCTATCAGAGTTAGTGCTGGCTGCAGATAAAGTCTTAATTGGTGGTGATTTTAATATCCATGTTGAAAATGATAAAAATGCTTTGGGATTAGCATTCATAGACATTCTTAACTCCATTGGGTCAGTGTCAGGTCCAACTCATTGTCTAAATCATACTCTAGATTTAATACGGTCACGTGGAATTGATGTTAACGGTGTTGAAATTCTACAGCAAAGCGATGACATCTCAGATCACTATCTAGCCTTGTGCAAATTTCATATAGCTAAAACTGTAAATTCTACTCCTTTTTACCAGTATGGTAGAACCATCACTTCTACCACAAAAGACTGCTTTGTAAGTAATCTTCCTTATCTAAATTCCTCAGCATATCCAATAGCTCAGAAAAAACTTGATAATGTAACAGAAACTATGGACTCTCTCTTTTCTAGCATTTCAGATACGGTTGCTCCTTTGCGCTTAAGGAAGATTAAGGAAAACAGTCTGACACCGTGGTATAATGAGCACACTCGCGCCCTAAAGAGAGCAGCTCGGAAAATGGAGCACAGCTGGAGGAAAACAAAACTAGAGGTATTTCGTGTTGCATGGAGGGAAAGTACCCTATCCTACAGAAAAGTACAGTTTCACATCAGATAGTGTACTATAATTCCACTCATACTCTACTATAGGACAAGAAGATTTTTATAAAATTGTTAAATCATCTAAACCAACAACATGTATGCTAGACCCTATTCCATCTAAGCTCCTAAAAGAGGTGCTTCCAGAAGTCATAGATCCTCTTCTGACTATTATTCATTCGTCATTGTCATTAGGATATGTCCCCAAAACCTTCAAACTGGCTGTTATTAAGCCTCTCATTAAAAAAAACACAACTTGACCCCAAATATCTAGTTAATTACAGACCAATCTCAAATCTTCCTTTTCTGTCAAAGATACTAGAAGAGGTAGCATCCACACAATTATAATCCTTCTTAGAGAAAAATGGTCAGGTCGGGTCAGATTTCCAGTCAGGATTTAGACTATCATAGTACTGAGACTGCTCTCATTAGAGTTACAAATGACCTGCTCTTATCATCTGATCATGGTTGTATCTCTCTATTAGTGCTATTGGATCTTAGCACTGCATTTGACACCATCGACCACAACATTCTTTTGAATAGACTACAAAATTTTGTTGGCATTAGTGGAAGTCCATTAGCATGGTTTAAATCGTACTTATCTGACCGCCATCAATTCGTAGCAGTGAATGAAGAGGTATCATATCGATCACAAGTGCAGTATGGAGTACCTCAAGGCTCAGTACTAGGGCCGTTACTCTTCATGCGTTATATGTTACCTTTGGGAGATATCATAAGGAAACATGGTGTTAGCTTTCACTGTTATGCTGATGATACTGAGCTCTATATATCGCCCGGCGAAACATACCAATTTGAAAAGCTAACGGAATGCATAGTCAATATAAAAAACTGGATGACGAGTAATTTCTTACTGCTAAATTCTGAAAAAAAAACCCAGAGGTGTTAATTATAGGACCTAAAACCTTTGCATGTAATAACCTAGAACACTGTCTAACACTTGATGGCTGCTCTGTCAATTCTTCGTCATCAGTTAGGAACCTAGGTGTGCTATTTGATAACAATCTTTCCTTTGAAAGCCAAATTTCTAGCATTTGTAAAACTGCATTTTCCATCTCAAAAATATACAGTATCTCACAGAAGGGAGTACACCCCTCACATTTTTGTAAATATTTTATTATATCTTTTCATGTGACTACACTGAAGAAATTACACTTTGCTACAATGTAAAGTAGTGAGTGTACAGCTCGTACAACAGTGTAAATTTGCTGTCCCCTCAAAATAACAACACACAGCCATTAATGTCTAAACCGCTGGCCACAAAAGTGAGTACACCCCTAAGTGAAAATGTCCAAATTGGGCCCAATTAGCCATTTTCTCTCTAAATGAGTGTCATGTGACTCATCAGTGTTACAAGGTCTCAGGTGTGAATGGGGAGCAGGTGTGTTAAATTTGGTGTTATCGCTCTTACTCTCTCATACAGGTCACTGGAAGTTCAACATGGCACCTCGTGGCAAAGAACTCTGAGGATTTGAAAAAAAGAATTGTTGCTCTACATAAAGATGGTGTAGGCTATAAGAAGATTGCCAAGATCCTGAAACTGAGCTCCAGCACGGTGGCCAAGACCATACAGCGGTTTAACAGGACAGGTTCCACTCAGAACAGGCCTCACCATGGTCGATCAAAGAAGTTGAGTGCACGTGCTCAGCGTCGTATCCAGAGGTTGCGTTTGGGAAATAGGCGTATGAGTGCTGCCAGCATTGCTGCAGAGGTTGAAGGGGTGGGGGGTCAGCCTGTCAGTGCTCAGACCATACGCCGCACACTGCATCAAATTGGTCTGCATGGCTGTTGTCCCAGAAGGAAGCCTCTTCTAAAGATGATGCACAAGAAAGCCCGCAAACAGTTTGCTGAAGACAAGCAGACTAAGGACATGGATTACTGGAACCATGTCCTGTGGTCTGATGAGACCAAGATAAACTCATTTGGTTCAGATGGTGTCAAGCGTGGTTTCTTCAGTAGAACACATTTGATGATTTTTAAGTCCAACCGTTGCAGTCTATATATAATGCATATAATGCATGGCAATGGTAACAAATCTATGAGAATAAAAAAAAACATGCACAGACAAATCCAAATTAAACCCTGCGGCTCTTGACGACTCATTGATGTCCTAAGACACGAAACAGAGTCGTGCGCTTTGCTGTAGTGAGAGCGATCAACAAAGCCGTCTTTAAAGAAAGACGCCGCAAATCAATGCCCTCTAATGGTTCAAACGGAGGCTGTGAAAGCGCATCCAGAACCACCGTTAAGTCCCAGGACGGGATCAGGGATTTAGTGACCGGACGGAGCCGTCTCGCTCCCCTCATAAACCGACAAATCAGGGGGTGCTGACCTATCGTTCCCGAATCCAGCCCCCCATGACATGCTGAAATAGCTGAACGATAGACCTTTACAGTCGAAAAGGCTCTACCTTTATCCAATAGTTCTTGCATAAAGCAAAGAACATCCGATACAGAGCATAAAAACAAAGTAATATGCCTCTCTGCACACCATCGCTCAAACACTCTCCATTTGTGACCATACAGAGAGCGTGTGGAGGCTGCCCTCACACTCTGTATTGTGTCAATCACGTTAGAGGATAACGCGATGGCATTTAAATTCATCCTCTCACGGGCCAAGCCCACAGAGCTACTTTGTGGGGTGCGGGATGAAATATCTCCCTGTTCGCCTGAGAAAGAAGGTCCCTGCGCAACGGGAGAGGCCAGGGTTGATCGTATAGAAGTGGAATTATTTCCGCTATCCACAGTTTTCCCGGCCAATATGGTGCAATCAGAATCAGTCAATGTCTGAATTCCCGTACTCTTTGTAATGTTGGCCCGATGAGACTTAGCGGGGGAAATGCATACAACAATGCGTTTGGCCACGGGTGGGCTAGAGCATCCACACCAGAGGTGCATCCTCTCCCACTAGGGAAAAAACCAGAGGGCACTGAGCGTTTTCTCACGATGCGAAGAGATCTACGGCAGCCTGTCCGTATCTCTGCCACAACTGAATCACCACCTGTGGGTGAAGTGCCCAATCTCCGTAACAGGGATTCCTTCTGGACAACAGATCCGCTCCCCTGTTCATTGTACCCGGCACGTGTGTTGCACGAAGCGACAGAACCGAGTGCTGCTCCACACAATTAGTCTGTGAGCTAGACTGTGAAGCCGTCGAGAGCGCAGGCCCCCTTGTCTGTTTATGTACGCCACCACTATAGTGTTGTCTGATCTGATCAGCACATGAAATCCCTGAAGGAAATTAATAAAGTGGTTTAAGGCTAGTAGCACCGTTAGTAGTTCCAGGTAATTTATGTGGTTTTCCCTCTGAGAAGGAGACCACCCCCCCCGCACCACTCTGCCTTCGAACACTGCACCCCAGCCCGTAAGTGACGCATGTGAAAATAGGGTCATTGTATCCCTTTCTGCCTGCTGCGGTGACTGTGCGCAGAGCAAAAGGTCGTCCAAATAGGCTAATACTCTGCTTGACGCAGCGGTGTCAGAGCAGCCTCTACACATTTGCTGAAGGTTCTCGGTGCGAGAGACAAACCGAATGCAATCCTTTGATACTCGTAAGCTCTGCCCTGATAAGCAAACCTGAGAAATTTCCTGTGTGCAGGAAATATTTCTATATGGAAGTAAGCGTCCTTGAGATCTATCGATGTGAACCAATCTCCTTGACGCACTACTTGTGATAACATTCGTAAGTTGAGCATTTTGAACCTGTATTTCCTGAGGTGTTTGTTCAGGGCCCACAAATCTAAAATAGGGCGGAGACCCCCACCTTTTTTGGGAATCACAAAGTACCGGGAGTAAAACCCTTTGCTGGCTTTCCTCTTGCAGCACCGTTCTTATCACTCCTTTGTTCAAGAGAGAAGATATTCCTTCCTCTAAAACCTGTGCCGATTCTCCCTGTGCTGTTGACATAACCACTCTTTTTGAAACTTGGTGGTTTTACAGCAAATTGGAGTCTGTAATCCTTCACTATTGTGGATAGAATCCACGGAGATACAGCGCATGCGCACTCCCCTTCACTCACTGGTGGTAAAAGGGGCATTGCAACTCCAGTGGGGAATCATTTGGTTTCGTTTTCATAATTTTTATTGTTGTTTTTATATTCTTCCCCGCCCTTGGCCTGGATGCGTGGGAGTTACTTTCGAGCAGGCTGATAAGGTCTGACGGGCGGTTTCCTTGGCAGGAAGGTTTTGGACACCTCTTCCTCCTCCTTTCTCAAATCACACTGTTGGCGCATGACTGTGACAGTCGAGCCAAACATTGCCTTGGGATCTACGGGGGCATCTAGAAATTCCACCTTTTCCTTTTCTGAAAGGCCTGAGAGACTGAGCCACAACGCTCTTTCTCCCACCACAGCTAACCCCATGCTCCTGCCACAGCTCTGAACTGCCCCACGTGATGTGCGGAGATTCAGATCGGCTATCACACAGATCTCCTCCCAAAGAGCTGGGTTCTGAGAGCCTGCGTCCAGCTGACGGCCCATCTCCTCCAACAGCTCCCCCTGGTATGCTGTCAGGAGAGCTGTCACATTAAGGGCCCTGACAGCCAGAGCAGAGGATTTATATATCTTTTGGAAAACCGCTCCGTTTTCCCAGGCAGCGTGGCGCCCGCCGACGAAAACGCTGCCCTGCATCCTGGATGCAAGTGGTTGGCTACTGAAAGCTCCACCTGTGGAGGGGTCAGCTAACCCCAGCTCCCCCATATCCTGAATGTCCAGTCGTGCAAAACTCTTAACAGGCACACGGTGGGAAAATTGGTTTGTCCCAGTGTCTTTTCATCTCCGCCATGCATGCCGGGACAGCCGGGATGAACTGTCTAACTGGTGCGAGGCGTGATGGCAATCTCTTACCATCGTAGAGATCCCTCTCTGCCCCTTGACTCACCTGCTGAGAGGACTAGTCAATGGAAAGCTTGGCCGCAGCCCTACGGCAAACTTCCAATACGTCTAACTCCACAGCAGAGGAAGAGGGTGGCTCCCCATTCTGGCTGCTTGGTGGACGAGATGTATTAGGAGGGAGGATAGCATCCTCCTCCTCCTCCTCTTCATCATCCTTCAGAAGATGGGGGGGGAGTTTATTTTATTATTAAAGTTTGTTGAAATGTTCGCCGGTTCCCGCCTCCTTCTCCCCGACCTACAAGCTACGAATGTAACATTTAAAATAAACTCAAAACAGCGCGACAGCCCCTCGCGGACGACTGTCGCACACAAACAAAACCAAAACACAAAATAAAATCCAGGCCTGGTCCAGGCCTCTCATCTTTCACTGTCGTCACTCCTCCTTTGCATCCTTCCAGAGCTCCTCGGTGAGACTCGCGACTGGCGAGTGGTGCAGGTGTCGCTCATTATCAATTACTCCACTGGCCCTGCTCCGTTCCCACGGCTCTCGGCCCCGCCCCTCTCGTCACAACACACTATTTTCCTATTTGATACTGTAAAGCTGCTTTGGCACAATCTGTATTGTCAAAAGCGCTATATAAATGAAGGTGACTTAACGACTCCAGACTGGATCATAATACAAATAATTCCCTTATTAGGCCTACTTTTTAAAGTCTTCTACAAAATGTATTGGAATTAGAATATGAAATCTATTCAGAAAATTCTAATATTAGAACAGAACTACACATTTATGGTAACACCCTTAACTGTAAAATTATCATTTTAACTAATTTTACAGTTCAAATAGTAAAAGACAAAAACAGACAAAAAGTATATAAACAAACCTCACATTTTAACTTTAAACCATTTTCTAAGAGAAGGAAAGATTCAAAATTATTGTTTTATACGGTATATAATTGGTCTGACTCGGATAAGAACTAGGGTTTGACGATGTCTACAAAATTGGCATTGGACGATGTCTACAGTGAAACATTGCGATGGGCGATGACATCGGCGGGGGCGAGGTGTAGTTAGGGGGTGTGCCCATAGCGTGAATCCTTATACGGCACGGAAAAAAATAACGATTCCTAACACCGTGTCTACACCAGATGCAAGTGGCGCAACAAAATACTATAGAACCACTGATCTATAATAGAGATTCATTATATATAGATCAGTTTATAGAACTCATTATAATCAGTGATGCTGTCAATACTGGTGCGCCACGACAAATCCCCAACAGTAAACTGCTGCAGCGTTCGATTTATGACGTGCTGACACAAATTTCAAATGATTTTCAAGTCGCTTTGTCATTTGGCCGCATCCAGTGTAGACAGACTTTAGCTGATGCGGAGCAGAGGGCGCGACACGACAACTGTTTCGTCTGGTGTAACGGTTGCCTATTACATTACAGTACATAAAATTTCACTTCCCAAGTAAACAAGAGTAAGGAGAGATGACTGAGGACGATGGCGAATGATTTGCAGATCCTCAGCACCACTGAAAAACATATAGGGCGAATTCCAACCGGAAGTGAGCATATGCCCTAATCCCTTTGAAGGGCAGAGCCCTTTGAAGTGTGTTCTTTTAAGGGTGTAAGGAAATGACTGACCAAATGTTACCTTGACAATGCTGTGCGTGCATGTAGCATTCTGCACTGCATTCTGCAAATATTTTTGCTCATTTTTTTTTTTTTATATTGTCTCAGTCTTATTTACTATTAAACTTTTTCAAACTAACCGTGCTTAAACTTGCTTACACTACCATCTTAAATAATATATCTATCACTGACGAACAATATTTTGTATCACATTAAAATAAAGACAAATTTAATCAGTCTATTCCACTTACGTTTGTATGTGAAGTCGAAACAACCCTAACTTTGCTTTAAAATGCATCACATGATCACAAACAGAAATCACTTCCGTGAAGGAATTCAGTTGATCACTTTCGTTTGGAACGACCCTATAATCTTTTAAAATGTGTGGTAAGTGTGGTTTTACAATCTGAGGTATGTTTTACATGAAGTTTAACGTTTATGATATATAAACAGACATAGCCATCCATAGAACCATATCTTTAAGCTAAAAGTATGTGTGCACTAATGTATGTGTGCACATAATCTGCACTACCAGTCAAAAGCTCATTAAGAATCCACCTTTTTCTTCAATGCGGAAGTAAGCCTATGGGTGAGACTTCCGGTTTATTACCCGCTATAAGTAAATAACGAGGAGAACAACAACGTGCAGTAAACGGTAAAACTGTTTGCACTACAAACCCGTGTGTTTATAATTAAGATAATGCATTAAAATAATATGATAAGACACACCAACTTTCAATATCAAGCAGCAAAACAAACTGTTTTGTTCAGCTAAAAATAGCTGCACGGAGTGGACACAGATGAGACCGGAAGCCAGACCCATAGAATTTACAAATGGCCGAGCCCATTTTAACGACAAGAAAAGGGTGGATAGGAATACGTTTTTTTGTGTGTTTAAAATAAGTATCTATGTGAATAAATTTAAGTGTAGATTTTTCATGTCATGGCAAAGCTGAACTTTCAGCATCATTACTCCAGTCATAAGTGTCACACTTCAGAAACCATTCTAATATGCTGATTTGGTTATCAATTATTATTAGTGCTCAATTGGTAATAATGGTACTCCGGAAACCTTTTTTTTCAGTATCCTTTAATGCATCACATGATCGCAAACGGAAATCACTTCCGTGAAGTGACCATCGCATGTTCCCTTCGCTAACAGACTTCTGGAAGGGCCCTTCGTGATGGGATTCAGTTGATCACTTTAGTTTGGAACGTCCCTATAATCTTGTAAAATGTGTGGCAAGTACTGCCGCTCCATAGTATAAACAGTGTACGTGCGATCGTGAATCTCGAAAGTGAAAGTGAAACTAAAATGTTCGTGCATGCAAAAGAAGTTTCCATGGCAGGTATAATAGTGGCTCCCTGATGCCCGAAATATATATGTAGTAGGCCTATCATTACCCAATGATATAACTGCGAGGGAAAATATTGAAATATATATATTTTCCTCCCATCTCGTATTAATTCCTTTTAGGGCTTCCGTATACAGGTCATTTTCTTTCCGAACACGGTATTGGGATGTGGCGGATTGCAGGGGGTATGGGATCATGATGCCGGCTCAACATCGTGATGTCTATCCTTCTGTAAAAGACCATTTTTAACTAAATCGAATGAGTTTCAAAACTGACAGTTCCGAAACATTGCTGTTAATCTAAATTGAATCAACATTGAATGGAGTCGAGCAGAATAACGACACCATTGCCTTCTATAGAGCTGCTAAAAGCTTAATTGAATGTTTCATAATTGATGAACTTTACACAGCAATTGAACAGCTATTGAACTGAATCAACACTGAACTGCCTGCAGCTGAATAATGACTTTTTAGAGCTGCTTTACAGCATCATTTTGATTTGTCTCATATGTAATGAAGTTTGCATCATTGATTCTTTTATTCTCCAGTTTATTACTGTGAAGCTGCTTTGAAAAATGCATATTCATTCTCTGACAGGTGAAGCATATGCGAACGCAGAAATACAGCAGGTACATAAAGCAGTGCTGCATTGTATTAGGCATTATATAGTAGTTATGAAGAAGAAAATAAAAAAGCCATTGAAACTTTTCTGAAGACAGTCGGATCTCTTCAGAGATAGATTCATATAAAGTCCCACACATGGCCATTTCAATGTCAGAATGGCAGATTTTTGCAAAAGCCGATGAGTTTGCAGGTATGAAATGAGATGGCTAGAGGAAGTACTCACTGATCGAGATCGGGAACGTTTTCTGTGGTGTTTCTTGGATTTCTTCGAGTGTTTTTTAGTCTTTGAATGATGATGTTGACACTCGTGCTGTAGAGAGAGAGATCACAGACATGACCACTGAATATCTGATTCTGATCAGCTGAAAGGCTTTCCAAGTTTAATTTACTTTTAAAAGAGTTAAGATACAAAAACTTAGCAGGTCACAAGACAAACTGTGGTACATGTGGTATAAAAGGAAAAATTCTGAAATGTCGAATTACTGAACATGAATACACACTCAGCCCTGAATCAATTCTTTTAAAAATGAAACTGGGCTGCGTTTCTCAAAAGCATCGTAAGCCCAAGTTGATGGTAGCTCCATTGGTTTCAATGGATCTACTACGGTGTTAATTTTGACAGGCATTTTTGATTTAGTCTGTCTTTATCTTGAAACGAAAATGCTTAATAGTCTTAGTCACATTTTAGTCATTTGAGTCTTTCATAGTTTTAGTCGACGAAAAGTCATTGCATTTGTCAACTTTTAGTCATTACTTTGTCAAACTGCAGTTATCAACATTTATTTTGGTAGCTATTTTATATGTAGTCTTCAAACAAAAATAGTCATTAATTCTTCTCTCTTTAGACCAAATCAATTAAGCTTATGAGAAATTTGAATCAAGGATTGGAGAAATTTGAATCAAGGATTGGAAAAACTTGAATAAATTATGACAATTTTCATTTTTGTGTGAACTATCCTTTAACAGTAGTGAAAAGGGAGCAATGTATACAAAGTATAGTTGTTCATATATAATATATAATTTATAATATTTATAATTTTTGAAAAAGAAGCAGAATAAGGCAATAAGACAAATACGAAAGAGATACAAATTAAACTGATTTTTCAGATACAGTAGGCTTACTTAACATTTATTTAACATCTTTTGTTGGTTAACATTAATGACATGGATAGGTACTTAATTAGGAATGCTGTCCCTTTAAGATGGAAGGCATGCATGTAATACTAACACACATCCAGTTTTCATCCACCTGTTTACGTTCACTTAATCCATAACCGACTATATGTAGATACTCTACATCATAGACATTTGGACTGCTGTGTGTGTATTTGAGCGCTGAGAACTGATCGCGCGCTGTATATGAGAATTGAAGAAGTGGAGCATGCGCGAGAGAGACCACTTCTATCAGTGCAATTCCACCTATCCCGCCTTCACTAACTTTAAGTTAATTGACAACGAATTGTGACTTCCGGGAAAAACGGGACATCTGGTCACCTTATACCTAACCCTTCGGGTGCTGAGGCCATTGTTTCAGATCGCTCGTTCGCGTTTTGGTAGTCCATCCATCCACTGCGGCTGCCATACTGAGACTAGATATGCAAACGCCCCTCATCCGATTGCTATCCAATGACAGGGATGCACATTTTGAAGGACAAGACAGTAACCTATAGGATGCATTTTGAATGTCCGGTAGTCCTCAAATAACATTATAGTTCCGTCTCATCTTGTTAACGAAGACGCGGCATAAATTTTGTCATAGTTTTTATCATCAGATATTAGTTTTAGCTCGTCATCGTCTCGTCACAGAAAAAATGTTTGTTAACGAATATTTTTCGTCGTTGTCTTCGTTGACGAAATTAACACTGGTCTACTATGTACTTAAGCTTATGATGCTTTTGGGAAACGCAGCCCTGGTTGCTTAAAAAAGGCCTTGTAAAAATGTTTATAATTCTATCATACCTCTAGCATTTAATGTGTTTGAAATAAGTATCTATGTGAATAAATTTAAGTGTAGATTTTTCATGTAATGGCAAAGCTGAACTTTCAGCATCATTACTCCAGTCATAAGTGTCACACTTCAGAAACCATTCTAATATGCTGATTTGGTTATCAATTATTATTAGTGCTCAATTGTTAATAACAGTACTCCGTAAACCAATTTTTTCAGTATCCTTTAATGAAAAGAAAGTTCAAAAGAATAGCATTTATTTGAAAAATATTTTGTAACATTATACATGCATTTACTGTCGCTTTCTATTACTGCACACTTGCCGAATAAAAGTGTTTTTTAATCTAACCCTAACTCTTGAGTAGTGCATTGTAGTGTATGACCAAAAATGTATAGCACGGTATTTTTCAAAATTATACCGGTTTCACGGTACATGACGGTATTTTTTTTTTAATGCAAGACCGAGTGTTAACTATATTTTCTACTGATTGAGGGAGGAAATACTGCAGTATATTGACTTAGAATGCCCTATTTTACTGTCATGATCAGTGAACATCGTCAAAAAATACCACACTAAATAGTGACCAAACACAACACTTTTAATACATGTTAACCAGGAGTCACTCTCATTTATAATCACGGCATCGTCTGATAAAATCAACATGCATCTACACTAAAGAGCGGCTATGCGGTTGTTTTGGCTATATTACTTTTTTGTCTCATGCAGCACACTGCCTGCGTCTGAGTAACAAACTAAAAAAAACAACAAACAAAAGAGTGCATGTGATATTTATAATTCCAAAGAATCAGTAAGCGACAGGTGCTAGGAAACACTGTTTTGTACTCATTTATATCTGGTTCTGCAATCGCGCGTGTGTGTGTGTGTGTGTGTGTGAGAGACGCGGGAGCTGATGGCAGGGGGCGGTGGATATTTGTGGCAGTCAGTGTGGCAGTCAGTTCTTCTGTGTCATCACGTTCTATTAGTTCTACAGCTTCAGTTTCTGAACTTTCACGCTTAGTAACACATACAGCTGTTCCCTCACCACAGTGCAACAGTGAAAAGGGACCCCTTTCAAACAGTGTTGCATTCCGAACGTTGTTTAAGCGACATACACCAGTATTGCGGTATTTTAAAAATGCATATCATAACAAAAATAAACACCGGTATTCGGTATGAACCGGTATACCGCCCAGCACTAGCGCATTGGTACATTAAGTTTGCTTTTTCAACATTTAGATATCCCAGTCTTTATGATTTTCTCTTCCATATTTTCCTTTTATTTGCCATAATAATGTTTCTTTGTTATTGATGTTTGTTCTTCCACCAACCAACAAGTTTCCTGCATTAAAATACTTATGCTGTAATTAGTTTAGTAGTACATGAGTTACAGCCTCATAACTCAATGACACACTCACCTACGTCCTTTCTCTTGTCCTTAGGTTACCAAGTATTCAATCCCAGGGTCAACCCTTTTTTCTATTATGTGCAAATAAACCTTTCACAGCCTTCATGTCAGATGGAAAGCATAATGTTTTGCCTTTAATTTGAATAGGAGTATAAATAACAGCAGGGCAGTCTGCTTACACTGTTGAAGGCCAGTTTGATGTTTCCTGCATCCAGCGTGGTGGCGCGTTTATCTGAGCTGATCACTGAGCCAAACTCCTCGAAGCCCGTGTTGATTTCCACCAGTAAGCCCTTATCCTGCACAAACACACACGCACACACACACACATTTCATCAAGGGCTTCAGCACTGATCTGATGTGAAACACTGACCATCACAGTCTCTCACTCACCTTCAGGATGTCTTTAATGATTCTCTTCTCATCATGATAACGAGCTTTCAGATCCTCCACGTAAAACTTGAATAAGTCCAGAGGGGTGGAGCCTAAAAAATATATATATATACACAAAGCATAACAACTTTTTACAATAAAAACACCAATATTTTAAAGCAACTCATCATAATTATGATATACAATAAACAACTATTCTGCTAAGTAATGTAGACTTAATCATAGGATACTATATTTAAGTGCTGATGTATATCAAAGTCATGTGGAGTTCAGAGAGTGTACTGGTGAAATGGAGACAGCGTCAGAAATGAGGACAGGACCCTTTTACATGTATTATTCATCAGCATCAAAGCCTGCCACGCTCTGAGTGTTTGTGCGAGAGAGAGAGAGAGAGAGAGAGAGAGACCTGGCTGGCCCAGCAACTTAAAGAAGCGGATATCAGCGCTGACGGTTGGGTACATCTCCATCCAGGCAGACATGGAGTGCAGCTGCCCGTGATCGTGAAGCTCATCCAGGAATTTCTGAAAAACACACACAACGCTTCACAAACATGCCAGTGCTCTTGTCCTTTACTCCTCAGTCAGTTCGGTTTAGCAGTCCTCATGTTCTTAGAGAGCAAAGCATTAACATCGGTAATGTTTTTAGCAAGCCACTGGTTATAAAAAATAACATTTATGCTTAGTTTGCTTTGGTAAGATTTTCAGTGTTTCAAAATTGCAAACAAGCACTCTAATATTTGTAATTTGATCCAAACCAGTCTGCAACAGTGTCAGTAGATAATAACATGTGAGGTTTAAAAGGATAGTTCACCCAAAAATGAAAATTCTGTCATTAATTACTGACCCTCATGTGGTTCCAAACCCGTTAGACCTTCGTTCATCTTCAGAACACAAACTAAGATATTTTTGATGAAATCCGAGAGCTTTCTGACCCTGCAAAGACAGCAAGGGTCCTAACATGATCAAGGTCCAGAAATGTAGCAAGGACATCGTTAAAATAATCCATGTGACATCAGGGGTTCAACCGTAATTTTACAAAGCTACGAGAATACTTTTTGTGCAGAAAAGACTTTATTCAACAGTTCGTCTCCTCCGCATCACCCTGTAGCGCAATTTTGGAGAGTATCTACTGAACGTAAATTGCGTATGCTGTTCTGTGTCAGCTGTGCCACACGGATACGCTGTTTACGTTCAAATCAAAGCGTAAACGACGTAAACAGCGTATCTGCGTGGCACAGCTGACACGGGTCTTACGGGTTTGGAACAACATGAGGGTGAACAAACATGAACAAAATTTTCATTTTGGGGTGAACTATCCCTTTAAATAGTACATTTCCAAATGTGTGGTTGACAATTCAGAGTCAGTTGTTATACGCAGTTTGAACCCATATTATTGATTCATTGCCAATTATCAATAATTCTCAATAAATTGCCTTAAACATGCCAGTGATGTTCCATTTATTTATTTAATTTAGGGATGCACCGAATGTTCGGCAACTGAAATTATTCGGCCGAAAATAGCCAAAAAAAACGTATTTCAGTGTTCGGCCGAATAAGCGAAAAGACCGAATAATATGTACCGAACAATTACTAACGCAATCAAATAGAGGCACGCACTAATGCAGCAAACATGTCGGCAGTGTGAAAGTATTAAATCTATCAGAGAAAGACGCAGAAATCATTACAAGCACGACGCACTGACAGCGAGAGACTGTTAAGTGCTGCATCACGTCTCCGATGAGAAGAGGTGGTTGATGCTGGTGGTTAGGTTACTGTATGATGATTGAAATCGCGAAATTATCTCAAACGATTAGTAAATAAACTGCAGAAAGTTATATTTTCTAATGCACGCACGAATTGCATGTATTCAAACAGCGCTGCACGAGCACTCAGCGCCAGGGTTCAAAGTCCAAAGCGCGAGGAAAATCTGTGCTGAAATGTGTTACTCGTCAGTTGCTCAGTAACATTTTTGTGATTTGTTTTTAAAGGCATGTGACAATGTGATACGTCAAACATCCTCCCAAATTTGTAATGAGAATCATTTATAAATCTGCATGCTGTCAACAAAAAGAAGCACTGAGATCTTCCTGTGGGTTTCTGCCAAAATAAAAGCAAGAACTCCATCGACATTCATAAATGATAGTATTGTAATTTTACTGTTGTTCTGTAAAATAAAATAAAAAAACACAATAATAATTAAAGCTGCAAGCAGCGATGATCGGGCCCTCGCACCCGGGTTCACCGCCAGCGGGCGGCTTTAGTAAAACAGTCAACGGCGAGCAATATGGATTTAAAGTGGTAGAGCAATTCCAATAGGGTCCTCACACCATCGGTGCTCGGGCCCTAATGATAATAATTACACTACAACAACTCTAATACATTTATTATAACATTCACAGTGTTCTGTAATATCTGTAATATTTTCAAATTTTTTAAAAGAATTTTCTTCTGCTCAGCAAGGCTGCCTTTATTTGTACAGTAAAAAATACATGCCTGATTCAAGTCTCAAAAATGGCCAAAAATATTATTTTACGAATTTATTAATTTTAAGTTAAATTGAGCTTTGTTGGTATAATGTCTGCTAGAATGTAAAAAAAAAAAAGGTCAGTGTTAAGTAAATATTTTTAAATTATGTTTTGTAATTTATTTTTTTATTTGAAAAGCAAGACAAAACAGTAAAAAGCACATTTTGGCTATTTAACTTATGCAATAATAAGCCTACAAAATAGGCCTACATGGGGGAAAAAATATGAAAAACCATGTTCGGTATTCGGCCTTCAGCCCAGTGTTTCATTTTGTTCGGCTTCAGCCAAGAATTTTCATTTCGGTGCATTCCTAATTTAATTATTAATTTATTTAATTCTGGCTTCCTGTCTGCACAATGATCTGTAGTACCCTAAACTCGGTCAAACAGATCATCTGTCATCACAGACATCAGCTGATATTCCAGCATCAAGTTCCAATTAATCAAGGTGAGAGCTTTTCATATTAGAAAGCTGGACACGTGATGCGGCGGACACACCAGGACAGAGTCTCACGTGCGAGTGTGTGCGCGCGTGTGAGTGAGTGTGTGTGCGCGTGTGAGTGAGTGAGTGTGTGAGTGAGTGAGTGTCACCTGGAAAGCCTCTCTGTTCTTGCGCTGTCTGCGTCTCTCTCGCAGCAGAGTTTTCTGTTTCTCTTCCTCCTCCTCTTTCTCGAGAGCACGGATGTGTTCCTCAAAACAGATCAGAGCATCTTCCTTGTCCATGTCTAACGCACACACAGACACAAAGATAAAAGCTTCCTCTATATCAAACACACTCGCTCTCATTATGCAGGTTAAAAGCATCACCGTGTGGAGGTGGCAGTACAGTGTGTGTGTGTGTGTGTGTGTGTGTGCACGTGTTCATACTCTGTAGCTCCTCATCTTCAGCAAAGGTGGGGTTATCCAGTAGGTACTGCTGTGCCTCAGACCACGTAGTTCTGTACGTCACATTGGCCATATTGTCCAAAATGTTCTTCAGAGCTTCCCAGTTCCTCTTCCTCAGCTGCTTGGCTTGTTCCTGATAGAAAGCATCGAGTTAGGATCATGTAAAATTAGACTGCAGACAGGACAAGAACTATATATATATAGGGAGGGCTTTTTAAAATAAAAAATTTGATGAACAAAAAATAAAGCAAAGATACAACTCCAAATTCTGAGTAGATGATTTATATTTGAAGTTTTTGTTTAACATACACTACCGGTCAAAAGTTTGGGATCAGAACGATTTTTCATGTTTTTTTACTAGAGTTTCTTATGCTCATCAAGGCAGCATTTATTTGATCAAAAACACAAGTAATATTGTGAAATATTATTACGATGTAAAATAATTTTTTTCTATTTTAATATACTTTAAAATATAATTTATTTCTGTGATCAAAGCTGTATTTTCAGCATCATTACTCCAGTCTAAAGTGTCACATGATCTTCAGAAATCATAATAATATGACATTAAACATTACAAGTCTTACTGATCTCAAACGTTTGACCGGTAGTGTATATATATAAAAATCGAGCTGACTAAGCGCATGAAGAATTTTTGCACGGTTTATAAATGCCATTATTTTCTTGACAATTAAGCACATTTTCATGATGCAAAAACACTCGCATATAAAAGGCACTATTGATTGTATCAGGAGGTTTAAGCACAAATCTTAAACTTAAACATGAATTTTTAATTTAAATGCAACAAAAAAAATATTTTTGATTATATTAGTGGTTGGCAAATATAAACAGCCTACTGTTCAACTAATGAGTTATATTACTTGGAATAATTATTTACTGATCTCTTTTCTTCTAATAAACGGAATTACTTCTTGACAATGTTGATTGCAGTTGCTAAAGTTTTTTAATTATAATAAGCCACTGTGTGTTAGTGATTTTTTACAATGCGTCACACCTAACAACATCCCTTAATCACTGTAATGCACAGCCACATCTGGTTTATTGCTTTATAATTAATATTGGCATATTAAAATGCATCCTAATGAAAGTGATATCAGCATTTAAACCGTTTAATAGAAAAAACGAATTAGCAGGCTATTAGATTATCACTGCTCTCTCTTCTACAGTAATAAACAGAATCAGCCAATCAAACCTTCTCTTTCTTTGCTAAATAAAACAGCACATCTTCGTAGATCTCCAGCCGGTCTCTCTCGGGGACACATGACCACACCTCCTGATCGCCAAACATCTGCTCCGCTTTCCTGCACAAGACAAGATAAACAACCACTGCTTAAAGAACAACAACTTTTGCCATAATATTTAATAAAGCATGAGTTCATCCATGTGAATGAACGTTGCTGCAGGTCATAAGCTAGTCAGTAGGGGGCAGTGATATTACAGGATATTAACATCACAGAACTAGTAATTAATAACAGTCTCTCTGAGACCGTAAGACAGGTGCAGACAGGGACTCACGACAAACAACACTGTTATATACAGGTGAGATTTACACCAATAACATCATTTAACCTCCCAAAAAGTCACCATGAGAACAGGTTCAGTGAAGAACAGCAGGGACACATTTAACAGTGCACAGGATTTAAATGCTATTAAATTCCATTAATGCTGTGTGCAGTATTTGGATACCTGTAACGAGGGTCGTTAATTATCAGCTTCATTGCCTGCTCCCATGATGCATTGGAGGAAACGCCCTATAGTCACATGGAAGGAGAGATGCAAAGTTACTTTTCTCCAAAGCTACAGCATGCTTATTATGGGGGGGGGGGAAGAAAACATGAGCGGCGGCCGAGGCCTACAGTGAGCGGCGGCTGGGGGCTAGAGTGAGCGGAAGCCGGGGGCTAGAGTGATTTTAAAAATAGATTTTCTAAAGAACCTATTTAGTAATCAACACATTTGATTTCATTCACACTGAATGATTTCAATTTGACTGAGTGGATCATTTGATTTCCCATGTTATTGTTGAGAGGCATAAATGGGCGTCCACTGAGAGGGAACAGAGTAATGAAAAGGTTTGGAGAAGAAGATCTCCAGGTCGACATCACAAAACATTCAGTTCTGAGCGTGTCTTTCTGAAAGGCTGTCAGGGGTCTGTGAAGCGTGCGATTCCAGCATCTTCGGTTTCACTCACTCCAGTCTAATCACACTCACAGCAATTAAACAGCCGCGGCTCTCTCAGGAGCACTTTGTGTGCCAAATTAAAACACACTAAATTTAGAAAGACCCAGCCGGAATATCAAGACCTCCCTCTTCACTACAGGAGAGAGAGAGAGAGAGAAAATTACCTTTTCTTTCAGCAGTTCTTTAAATGCCTGCTTTGCCTCCTCTTTTGTGTTCCACTTGTAAACTTTCTTCACCAGCTCAGGTCTCTCCTCCTTAGAAACATCATTACTGCAAAACAAACAAATATAGAATAAAACAAGATATTATAAAGCAACTATAGCATTTATAGATTTGATCAATGTAATGCATCCTGGTTGAAGAGAAGCATTCATTTCTTTAGAAAAATATTATTGACCCCAAAGTCTTAAATGGTAGTGTAAATTAATGAAAATCTTTTGCTCGTGCATCGTTTTGTTCAGTGAGTGATGTGAGAGGTGTGATGCTCTGGGTGTTTTTGTGTGTGTTGAGGCTTCATTACCTGGGTTGTGTCTCTACGCTGGGCGCTTCCTCAGTGGAGTTAACCGTGACATCACTGCTGACCTCAGCGACCTGCGCAGGCACGTGAGACGGCTGTTCCTCTGTGGCGACTGTCGCCATGGCAACCTCAGTCTCAGCAACTGCCGCCACGGTAACAGACGACTCACTCTGAGATGTAAGAGCAGGGGTGGTGCCAGGAGCCACAACGTCAGCCGTCCTTCACCAGACACACACACACACACACACACACACACACACAGATCAAAAATTATTATAGCTGGATAATCTCTGAATTTCTAAACAAAACAAAAAAAAAATTGTATGGTAATTATATTTTTTATGTTTTTATGGAATTAAAAAAAATGTGAATTACAATAACACAGAAGTCTACATTGACCCTGGAAAAAATATATAGCATTAATGTTTTACTTCACTATTAAGCCATTAATTTGAGTAAAATTACCGGTAGCGGTGAATCTGCATCAACCTTTGCAAACAACGGACCGTTTTCCACTAATAATAAAGCATTTTGAAACTTAAAACTGCTTTCTGTAAATCTAACGTTACATTAAAAGGATAGTTCACCCAAAAATTTTTATTCTGTCATGAATTATTAACCCTGTCAAAGCAAGCATGTTTTGAGCATCCATTTACCACAATTGATGAGCTCTATGTAAGTAGTTACATGTATTAAAAAAAGGCCCAAATTAAACGTTCATCATTTAATCACTCAATTGGCATAGATTAAAGGGGTCATATGATGCGATTTCAATTTTTCCTTTCTCTTTGGAGTGTTACAGGCTCTTGGTGCTTAAAGAAGATCTGTAAGTTGCAAAGACTAAAGTCTCAAATCCAAAGAGATATTCTTTATAAAAGTTAAGAGTCAACCACACCTACCTAAAACGGCTCGTTCTAACATGCCCCCACATATCTACATCACTATGTGGAAAGATTTGTATAACGCCGCCCAAATGTTCACGCAAAGAAAGAAGGCGTAACTTTTATTCTCGCTGTAGTTTTGTTGACGCTGCAGCCATGTCGTGAAGAAGCTGTGTGTTTCGTTGTGAAAGCGAAACTACTTTGTTTGGTCTTCCAAAAGAGGACGATGTCCGCTTCGTCATGCTTAGAGCTGATCCGTGCTGGTCGCTGAGGAAATACATCTTTGCGCTGCGGATCGCCGGATCGGCTTTCACCGTCGACGAAGCAGAGTCCAGCCCGGGGTCGTCACATGTGGTTGCTGCAAGCCTGCCGAATGCTCCTTCGTCGAATCCGCCGGCCTCTGCTCACTCAAGCGGCCGTGCGTAACGCTGTTTCGTTGTGAAAGCTAAACTACTTTGTTTGGTCTTCCAAAAGAGGACACGGCTAGAAATCAGTGGTTAAGTTGTATTTACAACACTGTTCCAGAACAGTTCAACCCAAATATTCCGATGTGTCCAGCACATTTTATGGAGGACTGTTTCCTGATCCTGGGAGAGTAGACTACAATGTGAGTCTGTTCTGACTCACAGACTGTAAGTAGGTTTTCATATTTAAAGAATTTGCCACTGACGATTCAAACGTGAGTTTTGGGCAGTGTAGAGTAGCGTTTGTTGTTTGTCATTTCTCCGATCTCAAATGCAGACATGGTTTTGTTTACACGGCACGATGCAACGCGTAAAAAGACCGTATAAGTCATTATAATCCATAATTATGTCTCCACTGGATGCAACAAATGCCTCGTTTATAATGAGTTTTAATGTGTTTGTCTAGTCGCTCCGGCCGGACACTGCATCACAGTATGGTAAAGGGCGTAACATTTCCGTCTCACGCTTGAGGTATTCGGCCAATCACAACGCACTGGATAGCTGGCCAATCAGAGCACACCTCGCTTTTCAGACCGACGAGCTTTGTAAAAATTTAAGCGTTTCAGAAAGGCGGGGCACAGAGGAGAAACAATGTACAGTACGTGGAAAATAATGTGTTTTTTGAACCTTAAATCGCATAAACACATTTCATTAGACCAAATACACAAAATAATGTTCTTTTTAGCAACATCATATGACCCCTTTAAGAGTGTTTAGAAGATGAACAAAAGAGACACACGAAGTTTGGAACGACATAAGGGCAAGTAAATCAAATTTTTGGGTGAACTAACCCTTTATGGTCTTATTAAATAAAGCTGATGCTCACCCGTTCTCCTCTGCCTTTATCATCGCTGAAAAAAAGAGAAAAAAAAAAAAGTCAAACCATTCCTCATGTGAGATTTCTGGATGTGTATAATAATGCTGCTTATTCTGCACACTGACCCTCCAGGTCCTCCAGCTCCTTGGGTTTAGTCCAGCGAGACTCTTTGGTCTGTGAGTTGTAGTAATAGGGCTTGCCAGTGTCTGACTTATACTCTTTCCACGGGCATTTGGACAACATTTGCTGCAAAACACAAACTTCTTCAATTTTGTTTCAAAATGCACAATTATTCAAAACAAATGAGAAACCTTTGAATAAAAACAAAAGGATATCTCATATTCTGTATTATATATATATATATATATATACATATATACATATATATACATATATACATACATATACATATATACATACATATATACATACATATACATATATACATACATATATACATATATATATGTTTTTTTTTATTAAGTTTATATTTCAACCTGTATTAATGTACATGCATTTTTCTGTAAATGTATTTTATTTTTTAAAATATGAAATTCAGACAATACAATAAAATGATTAGTTGGGTTTAACTTAGTTGTTTGGTCTAAACAAATAAATGCAATATAAAAACATGGTGCTCTTTACTTGTCTAACATAAACAAACTAACAAGTAGGGCTGCTCCAATTGATCGGCTACCGATCACTATCGGCCGATAATCGCTTTGGGATGATTGATCGGTGGTCTCTAAAAAGGCGGATGATGCTGCCGTGAGAAGGTTTGGCACGACATGCCGCAGCACTGTCTCAGTCTCTGTCCAGCGCGGGTCAAATAATTATAATCCTGAAGGTGGGGACATAACGATTACCGGTTTGACAATAAATCATGATAAAATTCCCCATGGTTAGTATTACCATTTCATCTTTTAATTATCATTAAAACTGTGTTAGATTACCGCGATTTGAACAACTCGCGATAAATAAATACTTTTTTTTTTTACAGTTTTAAGTAACAGTCTCACGTGCGCACAGCAGCTGGGAGGTTTTAAAAGAGTGCTAAGGGAATTATACAAATGAATATATGAATGAATTAATTATATGAATGTACCTCTGAAGGTTCTGACTGTCTTCAGAAAAGAATCGATGGCATTTTGTTTTCATCTTCGCTCCATGTAATAGTTAAAGGAAGTGTTCTTAATCGCAATACTGCTTTGTCCACGGAGGTTATGGGAAACAGCTCTAATTCAGCTTTTCCATAAGCTCCACCTGCTGTCAGAGAGTGGATTTACAGAGACTTATATTTACATTCCGCCTGTGTGCAGTTTCTGTCTGGCCAAAAATTGACCGAATTTGCATGCCCTGCTGTAAATTTTGACCGGTTGATGAAAAACAAGCTTATGTGGATTCTGCACATTTACAAAATTCAGATAAGTTATCTAGACTTATTTATGGAGCAGATAAAATGCATATAATCATTTATTAATCAATTATCATTTTGACATATATTTTCTTTATTTAAAGGCTGAAATGTGAGGTTTACCTTTTTATGAAACCTTTTCAAAGCTTTATTTGAACATTTACATTAGATATTTCAACATGCTATTATAAACTGTTGTCATTTAAAATCCAAACATCATTGGTAATGTTATTCTTTTAGTGATTATGCAAACAAAAAGTAATTTTATTTGTTGTTTGTTGATTTTTAAATATAAAACTTGAAGTGATGTATGTGTCGGTACTTTAACATCTCCAGCACATTTTAACAATACCGTGATAATACTGATAAACAAACTAACAAGTAGGGCTGCTCCAATTGATCGGCTACCGATCACTATCGGCCGATAATCGCTTTGGGATGATTGATCGGTGGTCTCTAAAAAGGCGGATGATGCTGCCGTGAGAAGGTTTGGCACGACATGCCGCAGCACTGTCTCAGTCTCTGTCCAGCGCGGGTCAAATAATTATAATCCTGAAGGTGGGGACATAACGATTACCGGTTTGACAATAAATCATGATAAAATTCCCCATGGTTAGTATTACCATTTCATCTTTTAATTATCATTAAAACTGTGTTAGATTACCGCGATTTGAACAACTCGCGATAAATAAATACTTTTTTTTTTTACAGTTTTAAGTAACAGTCTCACGTGCGCACAGCAGCTGGGAGGTTTTAAAAGAGTGCTAAGGGAATTATACAAATGAATATATGAATGAATTAATTATATGAATGTACCTCTGAAGGTTCTGACTGTCTTCAGAAAAGAATCGATGGCATTTTGTTTTCATCTTCGCTCCATGTAATAGTTAAAGGAAGTGTTCTTAATCGCAATACTGCTTTGTCCACGGAGGTTATGGGAAACAGCTCTAATTCAGCTTTTCCATAAGCTCCACCTGCTGTCAGAGAGTGGATTTACAGAGACTTATATTTACATTCCGCCTGTGTGCAGTTTCTGTCTGGCCAAAAATTGACCGAATTTGCATGCCCTGCTGTAAATTTTGACCGGTTGATGAAAAACAAGCTTATGTGGATTCTGCACATTTACAAAATTCAGATAAGTTATCTAGACTTATTTATGGAGCAGATAAAATGCATATAATCATTTATTAATCAATTATCATTTTGACATATATTTTCTTTATTTAAAGGCTGAAATGTGAGGTTTACCTTTTTATGAAACCTTTTCAAAGCTTTATTTGAACATTTACATTAGATATTTCAACATGCTATTATAAACTGTTGTCATTTAAAATCCAAACATCATTGGTAATGTTATTCTTTTAGTGATTATGCAAACAAAAAGTAATTTTATTTGTTGTTTGTTGATTTTTAAATATAAAACTTGAAGTGATGTATGTGTCGGTACTTTAACATCTCCAGCACATTTTAACAATACCGTGATAATACTGATAACCGTGATAATTTCGGTCATTATAATCGTGATAAGAATTTTTCATACCGTTACATCCCTAGCTGAAGGTGAGGTACTCACCTTCATATTTCTTAATTAAATAACTTAAAAGTAATTTGAAAACCTCGTGTGAGACGTACCTTCACAAACGGCGTGAGTGAATCACGGTGCGCGCTCTCTCTCTCAAAATACGCAAATGTCTTCAAATTGCTTCTGTCTATAAGCGAGCTGTACGCTGCACAGTTGACACAGGAATTGTCACTTGCACAATCGAGGCAGTGTCACAGTCACTAAAGTTTATAAATTGCATTACTACTTCATTCTTGCCAGTGTTTAACCATTCAGCGCTCTCCTGGAGACCGTGCGCTCATGCACACTCGCAGCACACACACATAACATCAGGTTCACATTACTCCGTTTGCAGTGCGTATTTTTCCACGCTCATGTTAACGGATTAAAGCGTTCACACTGCACTCAGTTGCGGTCCGACAGTGCGTTCAGGAGCGGTGCGTCTGCAGCAGTGCAGAGACTTGTTTCCGCACCAAGTCTATGTTTGCTGCTCTGCAAGCGCTGAATTAAAGCAGAGCATTTTTTGCAGTAAATATGAACATGAATTGACATGAAAATTTAGTAATTACACCATAAATGCATATTATTAAAGTATACTGTGTTTAACAGTCAACACATATGGCTTTTTGGCTGGGTTTAAAGGCAAAGAGCACTTTTAGATAAGGCAATAATAGATGGCATTCGTGGAGGTAGGAAAATAAAGTTCTTTATGAACCGCAGGATTGCTTGTAATAAAGATTTCAATGCAAAAGGAAAGGCAGTAGAGCTGACTATTTCTGTCAATGGTAAGTTTGTGATAACGTAAGAAAAGTAGTTTAAATGTTTTGCCACTTGCTTGAGCAACTTCATATATAAATCTAGAAGTAATTGCAAAAGTAAATAGCATTTAATAATGTGTTGCTTATATTTATGGTGTTTAAACATGTCTGTAAAAGATTGTATTACTGTACTCTGTAAAAAAAATAAAAATAAAAAAAGAATCGCAATGCTGAAAAAGCATTTTCAGTGACGATGTTTGGATTTGAAACCAAAATAATGGATAAATGTTGTGTTTGTGGTAAACAGCCACGGATCAGTAGCGGACACCTGTGTGAAAGCTGCTTCCCCTCTCACAAGAGTCACCTAAGAGAGGAATTCCCCCCATTTTCAAAAATGAAATTCAGGCCCTGAATAAATGTCTAAAAATCCTGATTGGAGAATCACTATAAATAGTTATAAATTATAAAAAAAGGCTTAAAAAAGCTCGGTATCGGTGATTGGTATCGGCAGATACTGCTTCCTGTGATCGGTCTCAAAAATCCTGATCGGAGCACCCCTACTAACAAGTAGTAACAGTAATACATTAGACTCTCAAATGCAGAGTATGCCTAAAGGTCATTACCTCCTGAATGAACAGTAACTGGCAGATGAAGTATGACTGTGTAAGCAAGAGGGGTGTGTTGACCTTTTTTTTTACCTCTGCAGGTGATTTGAGTTCATCTGGTTTCTCCCAGCTGGATTGTTTGGTCTCTGTGTTGTAGTAATATGTTTTTCCATCCAGTGATTTATGCTCAGTCCATACTGACTTCTGCAGGAGACATCATGAACACTTGGCTCATTATATAATTAGTGATAAACTAAGTGATACAAACCTGTATGAGTTTGCTTCTGTTGAATGCAAAAGACGATATTTTGAAGAATTGTAACCAAGCAGCTGCTGGTAGCCACTGACTTCCATATTAAGAAAATAAATAAATAATATAAAAATATTATGGAAATCAATGGGGACCACAAACTGTTTGGTTACAAACATTTTTCAAAATACCTTTTTTCGTGTTCAACAGAAGAAAGAATTGCATATAGGTTTGGAAGAACTTTGGATAAAACAGAGATACAAACTGTATTTTATATTATTTAAATTTTTAAACTGTACTGTAATTTTAGGCATGTATAGTATTTTATGAACGATAACTTATTGTGTCTTGCCTTTTTTGTCTGTTCATCAGGTGAAGATTCTGTTGATGTGGTGCTCTAGGAGGGAAAAAAATCCATGAAGAAGAAAAGAAGAAAAAAAATAAAAAAAGTATTTTTTCAAGACCGGAAAGTCACTTAAATCAGAACCCTAACTAAACAATATTAACAATAACGTGTTTGGTTGTTTGTTCTTACAGTTCAAAAGTTTGGGGTAGGTAAGATTTTTTTTTTTTTCTTTAAGAAAAAAATTCTACTTTCATTTAGCAAAAGATGCATTAAAGTGATGAAAAGTGATAGTAAAATTTAGCACTGTAACAATTTTTTTTATTTAAAATAAATTATAGTTTTTACCATTCTATTCACTTTTCTAAATAAAATCTTTTGAACAGTAGCATATGTCGACAAACTGAATTTTGGTGTTTACGTTTTTCAGACATATTTTTGGCTCTCTCTTTTTCTAAAGCAGCAGCTAGCACTGAGATTCTGTTCAGAATAGATGTAATACACAGCTAAATGAATAGTGGTGCTCTAGGAGGGAAAAAGAAGAAAAAAAAAAAGAGTATTTTTTCAAGACCAGAAAGTCACTTAAATCAGAATCCTAACTAAACAGTATTAACAATAAAGCGTTTGGTTGTTTGTTCTTACAGTTGTTCCAGGAGCAGCCGGTGCTGAAATAGAACAAAACCACTGATTACATTTAGAAATAATAATCAACAAGATTTTTACCCAAAACTATTTAATCTCTCACCTGCAGTCTCCACTGGACTCACACCAGGCTGAGAAGGACATGAAGAGAAAGAGTGCTTCATTACAAAAAGTAAACAAAGCTAAATAATAAGCTGATTTACGTGTGATATCTTTTAAATGACTTGAAACTTCACATCATCCAAGAAAGCCCTGTCAATAACTGTCAGAATTAAATTAGTCCATGAGCAGATCTAAAGATATCAGAGATAACTTCATTAGCAGTCTCCATTCCCCAAACTACAGGAAAGGGAAATGACATCCTGACTGACAGCTCCTGGAGCATCTACAGCTCAAAGCCGGTGCTAATTATTACTGATGCTATCAATATTTAATATGGTTAACTAACGACAGGCTGTTTGATGCTTAATATAGCTGATTAAATGAAAGCAGATCTTAATCAGCACTGAGGAGGTGTGTTCAAAATAAAGAACTGCACCCGTATGGTACGTTTGTTCTTATATATACACACACTGAACTGGAACGGTGTCCTTCCATCCATTTTCACTAGTGAAGTAGTGCTTTGAAACAAATGAATTAAGCCGCTCTAATTGAACTTCTGTTTCGTGTTATTGGTCAGATATGACTGCACTTTCCACACTTTTCTCTCCATGTACATTATACACCATCACATTCAGAGCTAATGTGTAGGTACTGCCTTCCTTTTAAGGAAATACATAAGCAGTGCAGACATTAAGTGGGTCATATCATATACTTTAACATTTAATGTTGTAATGTTAGTAACTTTGATAATGTTTGCATTTTTTTGGCTGAAGACAGATTTAAAATGTGCTCAACATAGTTTTTAACTGCCCCATCCACCAGTAACAGCCTCTTTGCAAAACTAAATTACATTGAGACTGAAATGTATTGCACAGTTCAAAAGTTTGGGGTAGGTAAGATTTTTTTTTTTTTTTTTTTTAAGAAAAAAATAATACTTTCATTTAGCAAAAGATGCATTAAAGTGATGAAAAGTGATAGTAAAATTTAGCACTGTAACAAAAAAAAAATTGATTTCAAATAAATTATCGTTTTTACCATTCTATTCACTTTTCTAAATAAAATCTTTTGAACAGTAGCATATGTCGACAAACTGAATTTGTGTTTACGTTTTTCAGACATATTTTTGGCTTTCTCTCTTCCTAAAGCAGCAGCTAGTAGGGATGTAACGATTCACTCAACTCAGGATTCGATTCACGATTTTGATTTCACGATTCGATTCATGATTTTATTTTATTTTTTACAAAATGAGATTTAAGACAAATTATAAATTAAATGTGCATGTCCTTTTATTATTGCTTGGACAAAATGCTGCACATTTCTTTGTGAAATTGAAATATAACACTATAATAATATACTAATATAGCACTTGCATATTATTGCTCTTTTGTTGGTTTTGATTGCTTCTATTGTCCTCATTTGTAAGTCGCTTTGGATAAAAGCGTCTGCTAAATGACAAAATTTAAATATAATGTAAATGTAAATAACAAAACTAAACTGAAATTTAAAAACAAGCCCCAAATCAAATACGTAACACAAATAAAATAAATATTCATATAAACAAAATAAGGCTTTGTCTGTGCTCTTTCCATTTAAAATTAGAGGCAACCACTGCATTTTAATCATGATCCAAACAAAGATGCTGCATACATGCAGCATGAGCAGTTTTTAATCTAAATTAAATTGCATAATTTCGAAATTTGGAGCAAAAACAGAATGGTTTGACTTCTGTTTTGTGAAACTATACATAAAATATCTGCATGAAACAGCGGATCTGAATGAGACGCAGATTCACTCTCTGCCAGCAGGTGGCGCTTAAACCCTTTCCTTGATTTCCGCTGTAAACAAAGCAGCGCTGCACTTCCCCTCAAACATGCATTCATATAAACTCCCTACCCCTAAATGAATCACGATTTGTTTAGCATCTCAACCGATTTGAATCGTCACATATTTGAATCGATTTTCAACCGGCTCGCGGGTAATCGTTACATCCCTAGCAGCTAGCACTGAGATTCTGTTCAGAATAGATGTAATACACAGTTAAATGAATAACTATAAACAGAGCTTTCAGAAACTGAAATCAAGACTTTTTGGATTGAATAAATGAGTGCATGCAAACATGCCTAATGAATGTTCTTTTCGGACTAAGTTCTGAAAGTTACAGTATGGTTGCTTCCTGATGATACCTTAATTTACATTGTTGTTTTTCATTACCATTTTCCACCCTCTCTGAGAGGCTGTAAATGTGAATGTTTTGTGATATCAATCATGATGATTTCTGAACGTTGTTTTTGTGCTTTAGTGTCAAATGTTCTGCGTGGACTAAAAAAAAAGCAAGAACAATCCATTATATGATGCCTTTATTAAAGTCTAACTAAAATCGAATACTAACAAAGTGTGCTAATGCTGGGAAGGAGATGTACAGCATCATACACTGAAATAAATTAGTAGAGCAAGCCGATCTCTTCCGCTACTATCACTCGTGTCACATGGGTAAGTGCCATATAAAATAGTGTTGATTCTAAATTGGTACATTTTCCCACTTTGCAGTGTGTTCATTAGGGTTATTCTGACACTGCTGACAGCATGCGAGCGTCTATATTTAACCGGCGATGGTGGAGTAGTGTGATATACAGGCTAGCTTACCGGTCCTGTAGGCTGGATTGATGCAGCTGGCATGCGTGGGGGCATCATCATTCCTGGCATCATTGGTGGCATCATGGCTGGCATCTATGAAAAGAGTTTCATGAAAAATTCATGTTAACTGCTAATTTCCCTCCTACGCTGCACAGGGGGAGAGCAAGGTATGAGCTGAGGGGTGTAAAGCACATCTTGTGCTCTGTAAGTCTACATTCTGATCCTCACACTCACAGCCCAAAACATCCACTAACATGCTATTCATCCCATCTCACACACACACACACACACACACACACACACACACACAGGTGGAGCATCAGGTCCAATAAGACAACACTATAGCAATCATATCAATGACTTTACATGTTTATATTCATGTTCAAGTCTATACAATTCTCTCATCTACATATTAGGGTAAATTGCATGAAAACTTCCAAGAAATGTCCCGAATCATTTTAAACCCTATAAATCTCGTCTATAAATATGACAAGCACATTTATTTTGTGGAATTCACACAATAACTATAAGTACTAATGGTGATGGAGTCTTAAGGTCCATTCACATTAAGAATGTTAAATATAACTGTATTAGCATCCACACCAAAGGATGCTATCATTCTCAATTTGCGTCTCAATCAGCTCCCTTGTTCAGTAGTCAGGGCACTGATCAGGGAGTTGGCCATTTTAAGGGCTGTCTCAATCGCGAAATCCTTCCAGTGCACTGGAAAGTTCGCTCCCTGAAAAATCCCACAATGCATCGCAAATTCTAGGGAGCATCGGCGCTCACTATGCTGCCTTAACCAGAAATAACATCACATTTCTGAAGCGCTAAACAAACCGCACGAGCAAGCTCGATAAATATAATGACACGCAATAGAAGATTTGAAAATATTTTTTTTAATTATTTCAGCATAAACACACATCGCTAGTAGGGGTGTAACGGTTCACAAAATTCACGGTTCGGTTTGATACGGTATGTTTTCGATACAGCAAAAACAAAGAAATGCCAGACAAATTTCCTTGATTTTTACTTTTTTTTTTATTTAAAATTTATATCATATGATCTTAAAAATATTTTGGACTTTGGAAGGCCTTTTTGACTTCTGCCGTTTATCCAAGATGATTTTGGAAGCTTTTTTAACATTAATTTCTTATTTATTTGGTTCCACAGTGTCTGCTGATTTTCAGTGTTTTATATTTAAACTTTGTGTAAGTTATTTGTTATTTTATATTAGGCCTATAGCATGGTGTATTTGTATTCGTTTTGTAGTCTATGTTTAATGTAAGTGAGTTTGTCATACGGTTTTGTTGTTGTCAATTCAATTGAGTTTCGAAAGTGAAAGTAAAATGCGCACAAGCATTTACAAGCTATTTAAAAGCAAATAAAAGCGAGGAAAAGAGGGAAAACTCCTAATGAACTACCTCACCGTCACAACCTGGAGTACATTATATTTCACTCACTTGAAGCTATTTGTTCCCCCCAAATGTAATAGGATTACTCCAACAAATCTTTCGGTTTGTATGCGTACCGAACCGAAAGCCTCGTACCGAACGTGCATCGTTACACCCCTAATCGCTAGACGGGTAGCGAACACATCTAGTTAACATTTATAATTAATATCCGGCAGAAATGTCGTAAGAACATGTGTTTAAAGAAAAAAAAACAACAACAACAAAAAGAGATCAGTCCTGTCTGTTGTTTATTAATTCAAGCGATGACATTCTACATTATCAATGCACACTGCAGTTATATCATCAGCCACATTACATGCACAAGCTTTTTAAAGTGGATTTTGATTGGCTGTCAGTGTCTTTATTCTTCATCAGCTGAAACCAAAACCGTATCGTTCCACATTGTCAATATTGCTATAGTTGTGGTGCGGATTTTCCTATTCTCACTGAATCAGAATTACTCTCTCTTTTTAAACTAGCAGTGTATTTTATCAGAAGAGCAGGACATTTATCTTTGACACTGTGCTTTTGGGGAAACAGAGTATGAAATTGGCTTTACAAACGTCATGTCTTGTCTAATCCAGCACAAGCCATGTTGAAATTGAAAGTGATGAGAAAAAAAATACTGGACACTTCAAAAATGCAATGTGACCAGTGATGTCTGATTTGTGGATACATGATGACTCTTAGTGGTAACATTTTCCATCATCTAGCACATTTGTAAATTCAACATGCTTTCCGTCAAGTTGACAGAAAGAAAAATAATGTATCTGGCATGTTCGTTACGGAATGCTATCAAAGTATGGTTGTAACGATGAGGAAATTTTCCCACCGGTTAATTGTGTGACAACCGTGTGACAACACTGATAATACCGGTATCACTGTGTGTGTGTGTGCGCTTGTAAAAGCGGCATGCACATTTTACTTACACTTTCGAATTAGCAGGAATTCGGCATCAAGCAATTGTTTGTTTTTAGTTCGTTTGAGTTTTCCATCTTTTCCTCGATTCTCTTCGCTTTTAAATAGCTTTAAAGTCTTGTGCGCATTTTACATTTACTTTCGAATTAGCAGCAATTCGGCATCAACAACAAAATACAACAACAAAAAGTAGGCGGAGGGGTAGGGGAAAGGGAAGGGGTATAAAATAGAATTGGGCCTAAATCTTACACATAGTCAGAGGTAGGTGTAAAGTGAAAAGTCATGATTTGTTCGGACATTATTAGTTTTTAGGATTCATGTCTGTTAGTTCATTATTACTGCAGACGTGAACTGTAATGTTTATGGTCTTTTCGGGCAGGATAAGCGATATCGATCACGAAGCTCGGTGTAGACTATACCACACTGCCGACAGTAATTGACCTACTAAAAACTATATTTCTGTACAGCATGTAATTATGCAGTAAAATATTACATATGAACTGGGATCATTAAAAGAAACTGTACCATTCGACATCTTGCTTGGAAGGACAGTATACATGCTTGGAAATATTTCACGTCTTTAATTCCATTCATTACTTGTAGCGTGCCTGCCATCCAATAATCTCAGTAAGTTTTGTGCTGTGTTACTTTTAATTAGAAATAAAGTATCAGCTTCCAAATTCTGTCAGTTTTATCACAAAATACACACTATAAATGTGGTTTTTCAGCCACAGTAAGACGTCAGTAAAACTGTCACGTAAAGTCACATTTACCTCAGGAAAGACATTCATTGTACATAAACTAGATAGTCAGCTAGAAAAATAACTTTAGAGAGAAGCATTGTATTACATTCATTATATTTTACTTAAAGGGGTCATATGATGCTGCTAAAAAGAACATTATTTGGTATATTTGGTGTAATGAAATGTGTTTATGCGATTTAAGGTTCAAAAAACACATTATTGTTTCTCCTCTATGCCCCACCTTTCTGAAACGCGTTGATTTTTACAAAGCTCATCGGTCTGAAAAGCGAGGTGTGCTGTGATTGGCCAGCTATCCAGTGCGTTGTGATTGGCCCAATACCTCAAGCGTGTGACGGAAATGTTATGCCCCTCACATACTGTTGATGCCGGATCATCATAATTACTGATTACTGATTACATGACATAATTACTGATTATAATGACTTATACTGTCTTTTTACACGTTGCGTTGCATTGCGCCGCGAAAACATAAAACTCTGTCTGCATTTGTGATCGGAGAAATGACAAACTACAAGTGCTACTCTACACTGCTCGAAACTCGCGTTTGAATCATCTGTGATGCAAATCCTTTAAATTGCAGTGTGAATGTCGTCTCAGCCATCACTGTGGGAGAATGTGTCGGTGTGGACGCATATTGTCTATGTTGCGTAGTTGCGACTGATCATAGTTTTAGTGCAACAGATGTAAATATTTATCGTAAAGCTGGACGTTGCAAAACCCAGTGTAGGATTTACACCAAGATTTTTTACGTCTAGCTCTGGGTGGTGAACTCCGGTCCTGGAGAGCCGCAGTCCTGCAGAGTTCAGCTCCAACCCTAATTAAAACTCACCTGCCTGTAGCTTCCTAATAACCCTTCAGACCTTGATTAGCTTGTTCAGGTGTGTTTGATTAGGGTTGAAGCAGAACTCTCCAGGACCGACGTTCGCCACCCCTGGTCTAGCTGGTGCAACCGGCCCCAGAATGGCACTGTCATGTGACATACAACATCAGCCGCGCTGTGCTACTGTTTGTACAGCTAGGCTACTTTGCATGTGTGCATTCCCATGTCCTATGTAAGCTAGCATGTAAAACCCTGATTTAAAAACACTGCTTCCTTTCAAAGTGAAATCTGTGAAAGTGAAATGAACTCTTACCTGTGCCATGGGTGGAGCTCCCATCGGGGGTATCATGGGGGGCATTATTCCCGGGGGCATGGGGGCCATGCTGGGCGGCCTCTGGCCCATGGGTGGCATTCCCATTGGAGGGAAGTGAGGCGGGATTCCTGGTGGGCCCATCTTTGAAACACACAAAAATGTATTCAAGGCATGAATGAGAATGAACAACCAAGCAGTCGCAAAGACAGAGAGATGGCTTTACAGTAAAGGCTTTCCAACAGCAACTTACAAAGCGCAGGGGGAATCCTGAAGGTGGGGGGACACCAGGAAAAGGTGGTGCTTGACTGGGGCCACTATTAGCTTCAGTCGAGGACTGTTATGAACAAGAGAGTCCATTACGGTCACCACTACAGCTCGGATAAAGATGCTGCACATCACTGGCTTGAAGTGTGATGAGGTTTTCCCAATAATTATCTAATCTGACAGAGCCAACCAACACATCCAAGCTTATGTGAGCAGAACCATCACTGTCAGACGTTTCCGAAATATTTCACTCGTAGCAACTAGCATAACTTCAAGCTTATTAGTATACATACTTCAAATGTATGACAAATCAGAGATTTCTAACCATCTTACTGCCCTTAACAAATCAAGCATGTAAAAACTCAATCAACTATCTCTCAGACTCCACTGTTTTATCATAGCTTTATCAGAGTTTGACAAATCAAGAGTTCCGTCTCACCTTCATCAGGAATAGATGGACTATCAGTCGCCGATTATCAATAAAAACACAGTTTATCAATCAGTGTTTAGGCTAACGTTATATCCTCTAGGCTAACACAGTAACATCAGCGTAAACAGATCATCATAAACAGACTGCTTACAAGCATAAATGTCTCACACAATCAGATATGTAACACGTCTAACACACGTGCTTTAATAATCACAATAATAAATCCAAACTCTCATTCAAACCCTCGTTAGCTTTAGCTTTAGCATCAGTCACTCACTCGCATTAGCTTACATGCTAACCAACATTTATTTTGTCTGTAATATGCCCATTTCTTCACTACAAGTCTTTAACCCAAGCGAATAAACCGTTCAGTATGTATATGTGTCGTTTGTAAATGCCAGAACACGCCAGTTTTGAGTTTATGTGAATAAACTGTCTGTTTTTGTTGGACTCACCATGATGAGCGAACATGCAGCGGCCCTGCGCGAGACAAAAACCTACGCTCTGATTGGCTGCTGCGCGCCGGGTTCAAACGACAGCAGGCGTGTTTCATGTGCAACAACACTGCGTAAGAAGCGCGCATGCACCAGTTCGAAGCGCAGGAAACAAAAACACTGGAGAGCTGCGCACAAAATACGCAGATCTGAAGCCAACAAGTGAGGAATTTAGCCAGCAATGAGCTGCAATGTTAACTGTGTGATAAACAACAGAGGATAAATGTTGTAAATAGACAATAAAACAGATGACTTAATTCAATATTATTAAACATTCTACGAAATAGTATGATTATAAATATTATTAATGCATTTGTTCCTACCTATTTCAATACCTTATGCAGTGAAAGTCCTTGAATTTATATTCTGTGATATGATGCAATATTTAGGCTACAATAAATCAATACAAAACATTTTATTTAAAATAATTTCAATTTATTATACAGTATGCATACATTCTAATGTCCACAACAGAATGGCGTCCTAGTAGTGGCACTGCATAGACTGCACATTTAAAAAAATATTGTGTTGTTGTTCTTTGAATAAAAAAAACTGCACATTTTAAATGCACATATGTCTGGTAGAAGACAGCTGTGTCAGCATTAAGGAGTTAGCTAGCAGGGATGATGCAGCTTTGTAGGCCAAAACCTGGAAATGAGTTATGTTAGCACTTACAGTTCCATCGTCCTGCAGTCAATGGGTTTTCTGAGTGGGTTTTAAAGGGGTCATATGATGCGATTTCAAGTTTTCCTTTCTCTTTGGAGTGTTACAAGCTGATAAGAAAACCAAACATGTAAGAATCATAAACTTTTGTTGGTCACAAATTTTCAGCAATAATCCAACAGCCAATGAAAAAAAAGCTGATGGAAACCAGGCTGATGTTAACTTTTGGGCTGGCCTAAAAATATGTCATCACTACAGCACTCTATATAGATGACCTGAAAGCAAATAGACCTGACTAGAGGCCAAAAAAAAGATTGTACAAGGTCTTTGGCTTGCAGTTGTATAAACTGTTTTTCTGTCAATCATATGCTTTATCCTGTACTGAAATAGATTTGACTGATGAGTCTGAACCACTGAAGTCTGATTCTTCCATACATCCTTCATTATTATGAATTATAAACAAATAATAGGCTGATTTCACTGTTCTAATCCATCATACTCTTAAGCTATTTATTCTCTGGATGACAGTAATTGCCAAAACCATGTAAGCTGAGTTACTGAAGATGTATTTGACCTTTTATTAACTAATAGCTTGTACAGCAAGCCTAAATGCATAACATGTCATTGTACATTTATGAATAAATTAAATAATAATAATTGTCAATTAAGGATCACATTAGGCAGAGACCTTTAATAAATGCTAATACACAAATGTCACTGATCAGCAATAAACCTCAGAGAGCTCCTGACATTTCGCTCGGTCATTAATAGGAGCTCACTTAAATTTGAGATGCATTAAGGCTACAAACAGAGTGAGTAATGAGGAATATTTCACAAGTAAAACTTTAGCAGGGTAAGGGGCTGAAATCAATGCAGCCGCCCAGCATGCTCAGGAAACAATCGTCTCTGTGACACATGCTCTATTTCTAAACTCTCAGCAGGTAGTCAGGGAACTCGGTCTGTCGTCTCAGCACCACGGTCATCCGTCATGCTGCTTTAATTGGCCGCTTGTTCCCATTTACCGTAACATTTATTTTCCCGAGCCCGGTGGAGAAAGATGCAATTTTGAGACTGAAACATGTTAGACCCTGATAAAAGCCCATGTGACTCATAGTTTATGAAATAATTCACCTGTGTCTGAGCAGAGAATATTTGATCGGCCTGTCATGCTGGATGCTGAGACAGTATGTTTGTTGTGCAGCATTCACATGAACACTGTGAGAAAAAGAAAGGTTAAAAAGATTACAAAGAAATGGCAAGTAACACATTGAATTAAACGTGAAATTTTGAATTTGAAAAACTATGTACACCAATCATCTTTTTATTTACTGTTTCAAAAATGATTTTTTTTGTTGCTTTGTTTTGTTTTTGCAGTGAAATAAAATGTAATCTGTTGACAAAAGTGGTTCTGAAAAATGGAAAATTAAAGTTAAATAAAACATAAATAAAACAAGGGCACCTGTTATGCAAAATTCACTTTTACATGGTGTTTGAACATAAATGTGTGTTGGCAGTGTGTGACACATTCACCCCATAATGATAAAAATCCACCCAGTGTTTTTTTTTAATCCCTAAGCACTAAGTCCTAAGCACTGTGGGGGCGTGCATCAGGGTGCTTTTGAGCTGAAACTTCACAGATACTTTCTGGGGACACCCAAGACCAATATTATTTATTGTAATCATGATTAATCGCATCCAAAATAAAAGTTTTTGTTTACAGAATATATGTGTGGGTACTATGTATATTTATTATGTATATATAAAGACACACACATACAGTATATATTTTGAAAATATTTAAATGTATTTACATGTATATATTTATATTCATATAATTTATATTATATATAAATATATTTAACATATAAACATAGCATATTTTTCATATATATATACATGCATGTGTGTGTATTTATATATACATAATAAATACACACACATATACAATGTAAACAAAAACTTTTATTTTGGATGCGATTAATCGTTTGTCAGCACTACTTTTTATACATTGTTTGAGGCAAAATGTTCGCTCCGGCAGAAACTCTAAAACTGTACCAACTGGGCAGTTGACTGGGTCTTGCAGTCGCTGTCCGCACCATGAAGTGAAAAGTTTCCACTTCAAAGTGTACGGTTTCCTTGTGGCAGGAGCTTTGGACTGGAGTATTGTCTCAACAACCTCAGTGGAGAGACCGGATGCTAGGAGCTGTGCCCCCTCAGGGGCCACACCCACAGCTTCCATAACTCCGGGCGTGGGTGAAGGATGGTGCCCCCCGCCTGAGAGAGGAGGTCCCTCCTAATCGGAATCTCCGTTGGAGAGTTGTCAAGGAGTGACACAAGGTCCAAGAACCATACGCGAGTTGGCCAGAACGGGGCTACTAACAAAAGATCCCATCCCGGCGTACTCTCTCCAGAACTCCCAGAAGCAGAGCGATCGGAGTAAAAGACAAAGCCTCAGCCACGTCTGCACCATGGCATCCAGCCCAAGCGGAGCTGGATGCGTGAGGGAGAACCAGCAGACAGTGTGTCATTTTTTGCGACACAAATAGATCCACTTCCACCTGACTGAACTCCCTCCAGAGGAGCTACACCACCTCGGGGTGGAGCCTCCATCCCCCAGGCCTCAGCCCCTGTATTGGCAGGATGTCTGCTCCCTGATTGAGGTATCCAGGGATGTAGACTGCTCTGAGTGAGAGGAGCTTTCCCTGAGCCCACAGGAGGATCCGGTGCTCCAGCCTGTAAAGCGGGGCGACCGCAGACCCCCCCTGTCGATTGATGTAGGAGACCATATATGTGTTGTCTGTGCAGAGCAGAATGATTTCTGAAGGATCATGTGACACTTTATACTGGAGTAATGGCTGATGGAAATTATGCATCGCATAAATAAATTATATTTTAAAAGCATATTAAAATAGAAACCATTATTTATATTGTGATAACATTTTGCAAGTGTAGGATATCAGACCGAAGCAGACAACCACAGCAAACAACAAGACACCTCCATGACAGTTAAGGAAATTAAATAACTAAGGAAACAATTATTTTTTGATCAAATAAATGCAGCCTTGATGAGCATAAGAGACTTCTTTAAAAAGCATTAAGTCTTACTGATCCCAAACTTTTGAGCGGTAGTGTATATATGTATAATATAATTTTGTATTTTGATTTAGTTTTTTCCAGTACAAATATCTGAACATTAACAAATAAAGATACATTTTCTTGACAATTCAAGTCGTAATTTTTTAATAGTGCCTTTTACAATTGTTTCAATACGATCGTTTCAAAGCAGCTTCACAGTAATAAACAAGAAAATAACTGAATCATCAGATGTGTATAATAATCATCAAACTTAATCAAATATGAGACAAATTCAAATTCTGCTGTAACGTGTAATGTCTTGTGTGACACAATTTGAACTCTCAAGAAAATGTATCTTCATTTCAAAATGTTTAGCTATTTGTATTGGAAAAGAATACAAATAGCTATTTGTATTCTTATGATGCCATGTAATAATAATAATAATAATAATAAATGATGCCATGTAATAATAATAAAAAAACTGTAATAATAATAAAAAAGTCCCCCCCCCCCCAGGTTTGCGGGGGGGGGGGGGCTTTTTTTTTTCATCAAACTTAATAAAATATGAGACAAATTCAAATTCTGCTGTAACGTGTAATGTCTTGTGTGACACAATTTGAACTCTCAAGAAAATGTATCTTCATTTCAAAATGTTTAGCTATTTGTATTGGAAAAGAATACAAATAGCTATTTGTATTCTTATGATGCCATGTAATAATAATAATAATAATAAATTATGCCATGTAATAATAATAAAAAAACTGTAATAATAATAAAAAAGTTCCCCCCCCCCCCCCCCGCAAACCTTCTACTCATTTAACTTTTTTATTATTATTACAGTTTTT